TATATATAGTTTACATTCCTAAGACGGAGTCATCTATAAAATAATTCTTGGCATGTTTTACTGGTTTTTAAATGCTTACCCAAATTTAATCTACATCATAAATGAAGCTGTGAAACAGTCCAGAGGCCCCAGGTAAACATCTGAGACATTTTGAACCTTTTTAGACCCAGTAGACATTAGATGTAAATTGCTTTTTTTGGAGGGGGGGGGACCAGAGATCAAACTCAAGACCTTGCACTTGTGGGGCAGGCAACAGAACCACTGAGCTAAATCCCCAGCCCTAAATTGCATATTTTTTTTTGGAACCGGGGATCGAACTTGGGACCTTGCACTTGCGCAGCTGGCGGCGAAACCACTGAGCTAAATCCCTGGCCCTAAATTGCATTTTTTTAAAAGCGTTGCTGCAGTGATAATGAACCTTTTAGAGACCCAAGTGCCAAACTGCAACCCAAAACCCACTTATTTGTCACAAAGTCCCAACACTACAATTAAACCTGAATGCTGAAAATACAACGCCATATTAACACAATAACACGTGTGCCATAGGTTCACCCCCACTGGCATAGGGACTAGAGGTCTGACTCAGTGGTAGAACATGTGCTTCAGATTCAAGAGGCTCTGGGTTCAATCCCAGCACTGTCAATTAATACATAAATAAGTTAAAAGTCAATACTTAGAGTCTTCTCACAAAAGGATTCTAAACTTTGTAAAATCATTTTTCTGCAGCAGAATCTCATTGATTCTTTATGGTACAAACTAAAAAATCCTGATAAATGGGCCGGGGATTTAGCTCAGTGGTGCTGCTGCCTGCCTTGCAAGCACAAGGTCCTGAGTTCAATCTGTGGTACCAAAGAAAAATAAATGATGAAAAACCCACAGTTAATATCATGCTAAATGATAAAAGACCAAAAGTCTCCCACACACACACACACGATCAAAAACAAAAAAGCACAAGGTCCTGAGTTTGATCCCCGGTACCCAAAAAAAAAAAAAAAGGATGCCTGCTTTTTTTTTTGTTTGTTTGTTTGAGAGAGAGGATCTCTCTATGTAGTTCGGGCTGGTCCTGAACTCACAGTGTAGCCTGGTATGGCCTCAAACTCATGGTGATCCTCCTGCCTCAGCCTTGAGAGTGCTGGGATTACATGTGTGTGTCACATTCGATCCCCGGTACCAAAAAAAAAAAAAAAAAAGATACCATACACGTGTGTGTTACCATACCCAGCATAGTACATTTCTAATGACAGGGCCGGGGATTTGGCCCAGTGGTTCCATCGCCTGCCTCGCAAGCACAAGGACCCGAGTTCGATCCCCAGTACCAAAAAAAAAAAAAAATTTCTAATGACAAACTTTGTAAAGCATTTTTTAAAAACTAAGGCAAAAGTAGTTAGACTAATAGAGTATTTGAGAAATGTAATTTCTCAGAAAATTCTAGAAATGTTTAGCTCAACATATTAATTGCTTACATACAAATAATTATATGCAAAAGCAGTTTTATACTTTACATTATCATGTTTTTCCAGTGATGAACTCATCAGTACTAATTACTGGACTCCCACAAACTACCAAATGCCATTGTGTGTTGAACCATGCCTAAGGTTGGAGGAAGTGTTCTTAGGCCCTTGAGAGCTACCTATTCCCTCCCAGGTGACAAGGGCCCAGAATCTCACACTAGTCTTCTGCAGCCCAAAGCAGGGGCTTAGTAAGTGTGAGTTCATGGCCAGAGCAAGCCCTGGGGTCTGGGAGTCATGTGCACCAAATTTAAGTCTCAGCCAAGTTAGTTTCTGATGCCAGGGACCTTGAACACATGCTGTGGCATCTGTGCTGTAGTCTCCTTCTCGGTCAGCCTTGAAGTGAGGGGCAGCAGCACTGCCCAGAGCAGTTACCAAACTCATCCACATACATACTATGGGCATGTGGGGCAGCTGGTGTAACAGTAACACTCGATCCCCACCCACCTCATCTGCCTCTGCAGACAGAGTGGGAAGCACTGGAGCTGACAGACCACCAGTGGGCCCTGGATGATGTCGAAGAGGAGCTTATGACCAAGGATCTCCACTTCGAGGGCATGTTCAAGAAGGAACTGCAGACATCCATCTTCTGAAGCTGGAGCTGGGAGTAGCTGTGTCAGGAAACTGAAGTAGTGCTTAACCTTGTACTTTGATTGGAGCCAGAGCCTCTGAGATAAAGAGGACGCAGGGGCTGGTGGGCATGCGGCAAGGCTCGCTCTTGTCTGGGCTGGGCTCCCTTTCCGTTGGGAACTAGAGGACAAGGAGGAGTGTGCTGGGGGCTGACTATCTACAGAGTGTTCTTGATTTTCCTTTTGAGTCTAGTAATGAAAGTCAGAGAACAAGGAAACTCAAGCTGCTAATACCATATGAAAACTTAGTTAAAATTCACTCTCTGGAAGAAGCCCTGTCGTTTGTAGCTGGTTATGTTCAGTCAGCCTGACTTCTAACCACAGTAACTCCTTTTTTCTTGGGATCCAAACACCTCTGCATTTATCTTTAATTTTTTGTTAGTATTTTTAACTTTCTTTATAAAAGTAATGCATTTCACTTCTAAAAATTTAGAAATTACAAGTAAGCAAAATGAATCTCCCTGTATTGTTCATTTTGAGCCTACAGAATGACACAGAAAGCAATGTTTCAAAACCTCACCCACATAAACCTCAGCGTGAATACCCAGGGCCAAGACAGACTTGACAGACCCTTCACATCTCAGTACTGTCCAGAGAACATCAGTGACCCTGAGGCACTGCCAGATGCCCAAGTGCCTTCGGGATCATCAGAGACAGTTAAGTAACATGAGTGCTTATCCAGGCGTGGTTACTCGGGCCTGTAGTCCCAGCACTTGCAAGGCTGAGGCAGCAGGGTCACAATGAGTTTGAGGCCAGCCTATACTACAAAGCAAGACCCTGTCTCAAAAAACAAACAAAAAAAATGTTCTTGGGGCCAGGGATTTAGCTCAGTGATTCCACTGCCTGCCCTGCAAGTGCAAGGACCAGAGTTTGATCCCTGGTACCAAAAAAAAAATAATGTTCTTGATCTGGACTGTAAAATATCAAATCCATTCGCAAATCAGTGGTGCTGTACTGTAAATGCCTATGCAGGTTACTTTGGACAGGAGAGGATTTATCTACCACTGGCAGAAGGGAGTGAGGGCATTCCTGGCCAACACACAGACCCAGATGCCAAGCAAGGCCTCTGTCTAGACTCTTGGTCCCAGGGAAGCAGCAGGGTCTCATTTCTGTACCGAGAGGTGGATGTAATTTGCATGTTGAGCACTAATCAGGAACAAATGGCTCTTGACTGAATTAAACCGTCCTGTTTTCTCTCCTTGGCTGTGAGATACTGCCTCTGTGTGTCCCTGGCAGCCTCTGCCAACATCCTGACCAGTGCTGGAGAGTACAGCCTTGCCCTCAACTCATCCAGTGTGCATGAGGCCCTGGGTCCAGTCCCCAGCACCAAAGACAGCGCCAAAGAGAGACTGGTTTTGGAGATCAGAACCTCTGGGAATCTGAGAGCCAGAGGCAGATGAGCCCGAGTCATCTCCCTGAGGCAGGCTTAGCCCAGTGGTGGTCTGGGCAGTCGGAGAGGCTGAGGTGGAGTGGTGCTGCTGGGCGGGAAGGGTTGCCGCTGTGGACAGAGCATTGTGAGGAGGTGGTCCTGGCATCCACATGGGTGACTGGCACCTGCTCTCTGCATCCCTGACTCCCCATCTGCCAATGGTCATATGGTGCAGCCAGTGGGGGCAGGACCAGCAGTCAGAAAGGTGAGCAAGAGGTTTCCATGTGACTCTGCAGATCCACTGTCAAAGAGGGGAAGCGTCAGGGCAGTGGCTCATCTAGAACTGGAGGGCAGGTGCTTTCCGTGGCTAAATAGTGAAGCCCTCAAGTTGACCTTATTTAAGGAAAACATTTCTTTCTGTGAGTTTTAAATACAGAAACTGAAACGGACTCATTACCCTTAATTAAGTGCATAAATGCTGCCACACAGATGAATTCCAAGAGGTTGTATACTAGGGTATTCATTGCCATTTGCAAGTGATTACAGAAACACAGTGAAAAGTAGAAAGTTGGGGAGAAGGAGACGCAATGGAAATGCCTATGATAGGAAAGAATACCGAGAAATGAAAATACATGTCTTCGAGAAAACTGCGCTCATTTCCATAGCAGCATTGTTTGTAAAATCCCACATGGGGAGCAGCTATCCATCATCTGACAAGTGGATAAATAAAGTTTGGTGCTGAATATCCATACGATAAAATCATCTTGAGTAAAAGCCAGCCTTTCCTGTTACCCTGTACTGGGGATTGAACCCTGGACCTTTACACTGAGCTTCGTCCCCAGCCCTTTTCTTTCTTATTTTATCTATTTGTTTATAGATAGTATCTCACTAAGTTGCCTTGGCTGGGCTCAAACTGGTTACCCTCCTGCCTCAGCCTCCCGGAATGCTACATTACACATGTGTGCCGCCATGCCCAGAGTTCAATAGTACACTTTATACAAGTAATCTGTATGAATTAATCTCAAACCAGCCAAAAAGATTAGGCATGGGGAAGGACCATAACCCTGAGCAGCAGGCACGGAGCTCTCCACGACCCTGTTCCAGAGGCTCTTGGGTGTCCCTGCCAGGACTCCTATCTCTCAGACTCCAGTCTCTTGGTATCTGAGGCCCCAGGCAGATGTGCCCTAAAGGTTCCTGTCCCTAAGTGGGCAGGGAGAAGGCCCCACCCAGGCCAGGGCACAGGCTGTGTGGAGGCTGCTGTGGTCCCCAGAGCTCCTGCTTCCCGACCCTTGCTGGGTCACAGACACCTTGGGAAACTGCAGGAACCTGCAGACTCCACTCCCAGGAAAGCACCAGGCTCACCAAAGCTTGTGGACAATTTCGTGGAGTTTAAAGACCTCTTAAGGCTCCAAACCTGGATTCAAGCTCTGCCTTTGAGCCCAATTTATTTCTCAAGCATTCCCCAAGCCCATGCTTTGCTCCACCCCTGGAGTGGAAGGCTGCAGGGAGACGCCAGTGACTGCTGGCTCAGCCAGTACAGTCCTGAGCCTCGGGGTGCTGTAACCCTGGCACCCTCCCAGCCCGCTCCCAGGTGTTGCCATCTCTGCCTCACAGGTGAGTCAGCCTGGGATAGCAGGGTGCAGAAACCCTGGTCTGTATGGTGCCGAGACAGGACAGGAACCTGACGCATGCCCCCCCTCACTCCTCCCCCTCCCCTTCCCCACTGTCTCTTGCCTGCCACACTAACACATCCTCCCCTGAACACCCCATCCAGACAGCTTATCCTGCACCCTGCTCCAAAGATGGTGGCTCCATCCCTGTGTGGTTTTCTCCTTCCTCGTAGTGAATCTTTACATTTTTAATGGAAGAGTGGGGAATAATAAAATGAACTCCTGTGTGCCCATCAGCCCACTTCGTTATTTACTGTATTTTTCCCCATCATATGTCTCTCCCAAGCCCATGCTGGAGGGGAGAGGAGACTGTAATATTTCAAAAGGAAATCCGAGAGATCCTGTTATTCCCATGGGCATTTCAGTTTCAAACGGGAATTCTGTAACATAACCTACAAGCCCGTTACCCACCTGACGCACACGGGATTCTCTATTCTAAGAAACAGTCCATGTTCCTATGACCCTTGGGGGTCTTAAAATATCTTTATCAGAGTGGGTTTGTTTGAGTGGACCCCAACGAGACCCACATGTGGCATTTGGTTGCTACGTTTCTTAAATCACTAATATTTCCCCTCCCTTTTTTTTTTTAAGTTAATCATCTACTGAAGAAACTGATATTTGTACTTTCTGTAGAACTCGGGGCATCTGTGAGGACATCTTGTCTGGGTGGGAAATCAGCCTTTGATTGTCTTTTCCTTCAACAAAAGATGAAGAGGAATGCATTTGTTTTAGATGCACAGAAGATTAGACAAATGAAAGATCAAGCAATACTTATAGCAAGAAAAACAAAAAATCTAGGAAAGGAATTATAGTCCCAGTACTTTTTTTTGAGACGGTACAGATGTGTAATACAGGATGGCCTTGAACTCACTATGTAGCCCAGACTGGCCTCAAACTCATAGCAATCCCCCTGCCTCAGCCCGTGAGAGCTGGGATCACAGGTGTGTGTCACCACACCCATCATAGTACATTTCTTGAGTCAGGTTGAATAACTAACTTCACACTTCTAGTGTTTTAAATATAGAATAGTAACAGAAAAACAATGCAGGAAAACGTGACAAGAAATGTAAGAGCTAAGTCATGCTAGAAGTGGTGGTGCACAGCTGTAATCCCAGCATACTGGGAGGCTGAGACAAGAGGATGACAAGTTAGAACCTAGCCTGGGTAACTTAATGAGACTCTGTAGGGGGAGGGGAATCATATGCCCTTATAGTAGTCAACAGATTAAATGTAAAACTGGAAAAAATCTTACATTAGCTGTATAAGTCTGATGCCTAGAAGATAAATATAAATACCAGAAATAACCAAAAATACCAGAAAGAACTGAAAATGATTGCTTCTGAAATTGGGAGAGGGTGTGGAGTAAGGAATCACTGATTTTAAAGTATGAGGTTTAGTACAAAAAATACTTTTTAAAAAGATCGGGTCTTTTGAGCCAGGCATGGTGGTGCACACCTATAATCTCAGCACTTGGGAAACTGAGGCAGGTGGACCCCTCCAAATTCAAGAAGAGCATGGGCTACATAATGAGTTCCAGCCCAGCCTGAACTACATAGTGAGACCGTATCTCCAAAAAAAAAATCAAAAACAAATTTTTAAAAAGAGATGGAGCCAGCGGGCCAGGGATTTAGCTCAGTGGTTTCGCTGCCTGCTGCGCAAGCACAAGGACCCAAGTTCGATCCCCAGTACCAAAAAAAAAAAAAAAGGAGAGAGAGATGGGGCTGGGGATTTACCTCAGTGGTTCTGTCGCCTGGCTCGAAAGTACAAGGTACTGAGTTCGATCTCCAGTACCCCCCCCAAAAAAAGTTCAGTTTTATTTAGTTGGTCTTGGTAGAGACTAAACTCTGAGAAAGGACAAGGTGAGACACCTGGAACCTAAGGTTTTCTTTGGCCTGTTTGGTGACCCTGTTGCTTCTGGTGCTCTCAGGGCCAGGGACAGCTGCAGAGCACAGAATGGAGCACTGCACCGTCCACACCTGCTCTGCCCTTTGTTTATTTGCTGCAGCCGGGCAGAGTGAAGAGGCCAGCCAGCTGTTCTGGCCACATCTGTGAGGGGTAGTTCGCCATTACCAGCATACCTCCTTTTCCCTTCTCTATCCATGGGGGCCTTGGGGTTCTTTGGGGTGAGAGCCCCCACAGCTGAAGTCCTTCACAGGGACCCCTGCTGGAAAGCCTGTTTCTACAGATCCTGAGTACAGGGCTGGAAGGCCCGGGGTCCACAGTCTCAGGCTCTTCGAGGGGACAGGATGGTGTCATAATTATCATCAGACCTGGAGTCTTCAGCTTGCCTGCTATAAAATAGAGAATATTATAACACATAGGGTTGTAAGAATTTTAAAAGAATAACACAGACTGGCACGGCTGTAATCCTACCACACCAGGAGGCCAAGGTAGGAGGATTGCAAACTGGAGCCCAGCCTGGGCAATTTAGAAACTTAGTGAGACCCTGTCTCAAAAATAATAAAGAAGGGGGCTGAGGATTTAGCTCAGTGGTTTCACCGCCTACTGCACAAGCTCAAGGACCCGAGTTCGATCCCCGGTACCAAAATATAATAATAGTAAAGAAGGGCTGGGAATGTGGCTCAGTGCAAAGGCCCTGGTTTCAATCCTCAGTACAAAAACAATAATGCAGGCCAGGGATTTAGCTCAGTGGTTTCGTCGCCCACTGCGCAAGCGCAAGGACCCAAGTTCAATCCCCGGTACCAAAAAAAACCAATAATGCGTGTTGGGTGTGTGGCAAGGCTGCCAGCAGGGTGATACTCAGTGCACTCAGCATGGACCACCACCCTCCCTATAGCTGGATCCTCCCCCCACCATGGGGTCTCCAGGATGGAGTAGAGACTCCTGACCCACTCTTGTGCCTGTGCCTCCTGCTGATGTTCACCTCCACTGCCATCCTCCTCTTTCCATAGATCGGCTTTCACCCTACCCTCTGGCTGGGATCCTAATTGCTCTGGCTTTTGTCTAGGATCTCAGAATGCTGCCAGTGGGCAGCTGGGAAACACAATAACACAATGAGACCAGCAGTGAACAGTGCTGAGACAACCTGGCACCCGCCCTCCTTGAGCAACTGGGAAGGGACCAGGTCAACTCTGAGCTCCAGGGGACTTACATCCCAAAGAGGGCTCACCAGTGTCCTGGGACAGGAGAGAGGTGGCTGGGACTCTCCCACCCACAGCAACTGCCCACACAGGGGAGGAGGACGCTGTCAGGAAGAGATACCATGTGCTGGTTTAAAGAGGATGGAGCTAGTAGGTTTTGCCTTCCACTGTTCCCATCATGTATCCTATAAAGCAAAGCATTGATCCAGAATAGCACACATAGTGTGATCACACTTGTGTGAAAGAACATATTCACGTGTGTTTTTGCAAGCAAAGGGAATAAGGCAGTGATCACAGTTGGTACATCTGGGAGGGCAGAGTTGGAGAGGCCACCAGTAAGACAGCTTTCTTCCTGAACATTTCTGTGCTGCGTGAATTTTTTTGTGTGTGCTACATGAATTAAGACAATCAGCATATGTCATTTTTACAATTCATATGACTAAAGCTCTTTGTTTTCTGTTTTTTGAGACAGTGTCTCATTATGTAGTTTAGGCTGGCCTTGAACTCATAGCAATCCTCCTACCTCAGCCTCCCAAATGCTGGGATTGCAGGTGTGCACCAACACACCAGCTAACAACTAAAGCTTGAATAACAATCTACCCTGGAACAATCTACCTTTCTCCAGGCCACTGAGTGAAGGCTTTGGTGGCACATCCATTGCTCCTGCTCATGCCCCTGAGTAGGCTGAGCTTAGTGATGGATTCCGCAGGTTAGAAACTGCCTGAACAGGGACCCGGCGTCTGACCTGAGGATGAGAACCATAGCTCCAGCCACAGCTCAGCCAAGGCTTGATCCGCTGGGCGGCCTGTGCATCAGCACAGACGCCAGAGGGGCCTGCGAGATAGTTCCTCTCTGCAAAAAGCTGGAGACAACCTAAGTCTCAGCCAAGAAGAAGGGATAGTGAAAACTACTAGCTGACCCTACTCTGGAATTCTCAACAACATATGCAGGAAAGAAAGTACATCTGTGGGTATTTGCAGAGGAAATGGGCCAGGATATATTGTGAAGTGCGGAGAGAAAAGGCAAGCTATAAAAACTGCAAATACAGCATACTCTAATTTCCATATAACACATGGAAACATAATTTTCCATATAACTGCACTGAAAGACATCCGAAGGACACACGTGAAGCTGTAGGCGGGATGTGCCCACGGGTGCGCGCGCGCGCGCGCGCGTGTCCCCCTGTGAGGATGCATATACATAGGAGTGAGCTCCTCGTCACATGAGGTATGCAAGCAGAGGTTAGGTTGCCCCATTTTCAGGGACACAGCAGAAGGTTTCCCCGAAGCCCTCTGTGATGAGGTTGGTCTTGCTCTGAACCCCGCGGGTCGGGCAGAGAGGAGCCCAGGCTGGGAGCAGCGTCCGCCCTGGGAAAGGGTTAAGCGGCCGGTGGTGGGCGGGCTCGCGATCGGCAGCGCCGGGCTCTGCTGGCCGCGCCTGAGCATCTCGGAGGATGCGGGCGGCGCAGGGACCGCAAGGTGAAGCCGGGCTGCGCGCGCCCAGGTGAGACGGCGGCGCGGGGGGCGCCGGGCACATCGCGTGGGCGGCTGGTCCTGCACGGCGCCCACCGCCCGGGACATTGCGGGCCGGCCCGGGCCAGGGAGGTAGCAGAGGTAACCCGAGACCGCCGCGCCCCCTCACAACCACCGCACTCGGGCTTCAGCAGCGGCCCAGCCCGGCCTGGGGACCCCGGCTGACCCGCAGTGCCCAGATGGTCGGAAACGGGTGTGGGGAATGGCATGCTTATCACCGAAGGCCCAGCGCAGCATCGCCTCTCCGCAAAGCTCCCTGGTTCCCCTGTGCAGGAGGAGCCGCTGTGGGCTCCAGGGCCGGAGTGTGGTCACCCAGCCCGCTTGGTGACCTTGGGCGAATGGATCAACCCCTCTGAACCTCAGTTTCCTGCCCTCGAAATGGGTGCAGTCCGTGTTAGATCTCTCAGCCCTCTCCCTGCCACTCACCCCCAGGCCCAACATTGGAGCCTAGGCCTCTCCAGGGGTGGAGCAAAGCATGGGCTTGGGGAATGCTTGAGAAATAAATTGGGCTCAAAGGCAGAGCCTGAATCCAGGTTTGGAGCCTTAAGAGGTCTTTAAACTCCACGAAATTGTCCACAAGCTTTGGCGATCCTGGTGCTTTCCTGGGAGTGGAGTCTGCAGGTTCCTGCAGTTTCCCAAGGTGTCTGTGACCCAGCAAGGGTCGGGAAGCAGGAGCTCTGGGGACCACAGCAGCCTCCACACAGCCTGTGCCCTGGCCTGGGTGGGGCCTTCTCCCTGCCCTCTTAGGGACAGGAACCTTTAGGGCACATCTGCCTGGGGCCTCAGATACCAAGAGACTGGAGTCTGAGAGAGACAGGAGTCCCGGGTGGGGCGGGGGCAGGACAGGAGATGAGCAGTGCCCAGGAGGGTCAGGAGAGGGAACCTTCCTGGAGGAAGAGGCGCCTTGACTTACCTGAACCAGGTGCACTGGCCTCCCTCCCCTCCAAAACACTAGTCAGACCAGGTCGCACCTGTGTGTCTATCTCCAGTGACTTCTAGGGGCACTTGCAATGAAATCCAGGTGCCTTATGTTGCCTGACAAACCCCTTTTCGGTCAAGCCCTGCATTCTTGATTTTAGCTTCTGCTATTTTGTCCTTTGCTTGCTGGCCTCCCTCCAGCAGTAATGGGGATTGAGCCCAGGGCATGGTGAGCTACACCTCCAACCCTTTTTTATTTTTTGAGACAAGGTCTCACTAGGTTCTCCAAGCTGGCCTTGAACTTGTGATCCTCCTGTGCCAGCCTCTTGAGGACTGGGATTACAGGTGTTTGCCACTGTCCCCAAAGTGTTCTTCTTTTGCTTTTTTTTGTTTTTTACAGTACTGGTGATTAAATGCAAGGCCTTCTCACTGAGCTACATCCCAGCCTTTTAGTTTTTGAGACAAGGTCTCACTAAGTTGCTCAATTGCCCAGCTGAGCTCAAACTTAGGACCCCCCTGCCTCAGCCCCCCAGAGTGCTGGAAGTACAAGTGTGCAGCACTACTTGCAGCTTCTGTTCCTATTTCTTAAATCCTCTTAGCTCATTCTCGCTTTAGGGGTTTTGCAATTGCTTGTCCTGCTGCCAAATGCTTTTCCCCCAGCTCTTCATACTCCTGGCTCGTTCTCATTGGGCATTTAGCTGAAATGTCCCCCTGTGAGGGCTTCCTGGTATGTCCTGTGTAAACAGGCTCTCAGGCCTTCCATCTCTTCACCTTGTTTTATTTTCTTTATAGTTTACCTTATCTAAAATTACTAGAACGCCAGCTCCCCGAAGACAATCCTGCCCCTCCTGTCCACTGCTAACCCCTGCCCTTTCACATGGTATATGTGCAACTTCCTTGTTGCAGCAGTGACCACAGAGATGGAAAGCTCTCTGGACGGAGTGCAGAGTGAGGGGCTGTCGTGCTTCCTAAGCTCCAGTTAGGCCGGGGCCTTTTGTGTTTTGTTGGTTAAGCCCCACCAGAAGCCCCTTGTTGGTAGGGGCTCATTTTGCGAAATGACAAAGCCATGACACAGAGAAGTGAAGTGACTCACCCAAGAAATGGCCCCTCTGGGATTCCTGTGCAGGCCTCTTTTCTGAGACAGGTGCCCACCCTGCTTTCTCTCTACCTCTCCTGCTAGAACTGGGCCATCAAGCAAGAAGCTCTCTCGGGGGCAGAGGGGAGCAGTGGAAGGTTCTGAAGCAGGGCAAGTGGCATGACCAGTGATGCAGGTTTTGAGGCTTTAAAAACAGAGAAGATGCTGATTGTGTTTTCTCCTTTCTTTCCCCCAGCCCCTGAGGGAGCTCACAGGAACCCCAGCCCTCACCTGTCTTTAGGTTCATCCAGTGAGGACTGGCATTTGCAGGCCCTGCACCAGACACTGAAATAAACCATGGCACCCCATCCATGGGGCCACCTCCTGCTGCTGTTGCTGCTGCCATTCCTCGGGACCAGCTCCACCCTGGGCAGGGGTCTTTCCAGGCCCCTCAAAGACACAGAACCCCAACTCATCCCAGAAGCCCACACCAAGGACTCTGAGCCCCAAACCTCTGACTTCCTGTGGCAGAACTCTAGACACTCTGGTAGCCCCCAGGTCCATGCTGCAGGTCCCCAGAGGCCTGCAGACTCTCCCCTGGGCCCAGCCCTGCCTGGACCCCATGCAGCCCCTGGGGCTCAGGGAGTGCAGCTCCCCATGACTGACAACCTCCAGCTGGCTCGAGAGCCTAATTCTCCGGGCTGGATGGGATCCCCCAACACTCAGGAGCCTTGGGAGCAAGACACACCTATCCCCCTCCCAGTGGGTGCCCCCCACCTTAAGGTTACCCCCACACCTCCCAGCCTCCAAGTTAGGCCACCCACAGTCCCTCCTGCCCCCTGGGAGCCCCAAGCCCCAGTGGGGCAGCACCCACCTAGAGATGGGGATCCCAAGGCCAAACCTAAGACTGGGACCCCTCAGGCTTCTCCCTCAGACCCTCACCACACACTCACCACACTGCAGGACCCTCACCACACTCTCCTGCCCCAGGCAAGCACAGTCAGAGAGCCAGTGATGGGAAGACAGGGCAGGCATAAGGGTGACTCCCAGGAGGCTGCCAAAGGCCGCCCTTCCACCCAGGAGGACCCAGAGGTCCCTGATGCTAGCCCTGGGCCCGCTGACCCCAGGGCCCAGCCAGACCTGGCACTGGCTGGAAGCCTTCCTCTCACAGAGGAGCTGCCACCTGAACCCCCTAAGGCCGGTGCTGGAGACACCTGGGACATCAGCTCCCCAGCCCCCCAGCCCAAGCAGATGGACCCTCCTGATATCAAGGGTTCCCAAGGACCCCATTCCACAAATGCTACAGCCTCAGATACTCTGGATGGGCAGGTGAAGCCAGGTGGGCATCAGTGGGGTACTGAGCTGGGCAGCTGGGTGCCCTCATTCTGACAAATGAGGGTGATTCCGCCTCCCTCCTGAGGGAGTGAATTTGGGGTCAGGCAAAGTAGCGACAGCTTTTGTCATTTCAGAGACAGCAGTGATGAATGGAGCAGAACCCATCTCCCCGCAGCGGGTGAGAGGAGCGGTGGGAGCCCCAGGAACCCCCAAGTCCCTCGTCCCTGGCCTCTCAGACCCTGGCCCAGACACAAACGGAACAGAGAGCCCTGTGAGGGTCCTGCAGCCAGGTGAGGGCACGGCTCCTCGGGGAGCCTCTTTCAGGGGAGGGAGGCCTGTGTCCAATGCCCAGGAACCTGTGTGAAGTCTGTGAGGGGAACAGGCCCCGGGAGTAAATGAAGACAAGCACCTGCTTAAAGGAACTGGCCAGGACCTCTAGGTCACCGAGAAGAACCAACAGAGTCACCTGGTGCTCTGGAAGCAGGTATATATCCTTTGGGGGCCAGAGTGTTGTATGTAACACAGCTATGCCTGGTGCAGAGATTCTCTACCTCTGGCAAATCACTTTTAAAAATTTCAGGTGGCACACACCTGTAATCCCAGCACTTGGGAGGCTGAGCCAGGTGGATCACTGTGAGTTTGAGGCCAACTTGGACCACATAGTAAGTTCAAGGCCAGCCTCTACATAGTGAGACCCTGTCTCAAAAAAAAAAAAAAAAAAAAAAGCTGAGCCCTAACAGGATGCTGACAGTAGGCACTGTGCTAAAGTGACTCCATGAGGTAGGTGCTATCTCCATTTGACAGGTGTGCCTGGAAACGTTAAAGAACACACAGTCCACACTAGAGAAAGCTGAAGAATCAACAGCACTTAGCAGAGGCTATTTTAATACTGTTCTTATTGCAGATGAAGCCGAGGAGTGGCCCCGGCGGCCCCAAAGCCATCCCCCAGCACCCCCAGTCCAGGCCCCCTCAACATCTCGCCGAGGCCTCATTCGCGTCACTACCCAGCGAGCCCTGGGCCAGCCACTAGCTCCGGAGCCTTCGGCCAGCTCCACCGCCTCTGCCCCAGCTTCCAGCCCCCCAGCCAACGCCACCGCACCCCCCCTGCGCTGGGGGGCCCTGCGGCGGGTGCTGAGCTTTTCCTGGGAGCTGCACGTCTACGGAGTGGGGGTGCTCTTCTTGCTGCCCGCGTTATTAGCCCTCGTCACGCTGGCCGCAGCCATGGCCGGGCCCCGGCTGGCGCTAGTGGCCGCTGCGCTGGTGCTCCTGGCCTCGGGGCTGCGCTCGACGTACATGCTCACCGACCCTTACGGCTCGAAAGCGCGGCTGGGCGTGCGCGCTGGCCTGGTGCTCTACAACCTGCCCTTCCCCTTGCTGCTCACGGCCCTGGGAGCCCTGACCCTACTTGGTCTGGGCTCGGGGCTGCCGCTCCCGCTTCAGAAGCCCCCGCTGCTAGGGGCCTTGGCGCTGGTGCACGTCGCGGGGCTGCTCGCTGCAGACCTGTTGTCTTCGCGGCCTGTGCTCAACCTCCTGGTGCAGGGCCTGTCATGCGCCTGGGGCGCGTCCCTGGCCTTGGGCACGCTCTGCCTGTGCCGGCGTCGCCTGCTGGATCCGCCACGCGTCTGGGACACCAGCCCAGGCCCGCGCCTACTGGCGGTGGCAGGCTCGCTGGGGCTGTTGGCCAGCGGCCTGCAGCTGGCGGCTGCGCTCTGGCTGTACCCCGGCCCCAGCCGGGTGGGCCGCTTCTCGTGGGCCTGGTGGGGCGTGCACTTCTGGCTGCGCCTGCTGGAGCTGACCTGGGCGCTGGCGCTGGCGCTGTCCGCTGTAGCCGCCGCGCGCCCCCGGCCGCCCACCGAGCACGCCTGCTGGGCGAAGCTGCTGCGCCTGGCGTGCCCTGCGCCGCCGGGCAAGACCGAGGTGCCAGACCGCCCCAACAACTGCTATGCTGGCCCCAGTGGCCTCGGCCAGGGCGGCCTGAACATCAGCAAGAGCCTCATCCGCAACTCGGCAGAAGGGGGGCCGCCGGCCACTCGTAGCTCGGGAGCTTGGGGCTCAGCTGTGTCGCTCGGACGCGGCCCACCAGGTGGCCCGGGACGGTCCCGCAGCAGCGTGGGGCCGGTGCCGTCGCTGTCCCTGAGCGAGCTGGACCTTCAGCCGCCGTCGCCCATCAACCTGAGTCGGAGCATCGACGCCGCGCTCTTCCGAGAGCACCTGGTACGGGACAGCGTGTTCCGGCGCTGCGGGCTGCGCGGCCTGGCCTCCCCACCGCCCGGGGGCGCGCTGCGGGCCCGCCGGGGCAGCCAGCCGGATGCCCAGACGGAAGCGGGGTCGGTGCTGCACCACACACGCTGCCGCTCGCTCAGCGACCTTCGCGGCCCGGGGCCACAGCGCGCTGCGGACAAGACTGACCAGGCGGGGCCTTCCGGGAGCTCCCTGGACAGCTTCTCCCGGGGCTCGCTCAAGATCAGCTGGAACCCGTGGCGGCACGGGCTATCGTCCGTGGACAGTCTGCCCCTGGAGGAGCTGCCCAGCACGGTGCAGCTCCTGCTCACCCCGGCCCTGGCCCGGCACGGGGATCCCCGGTCCGAGGTCCCACCACGCAGCAAAGCCGGGGACTCCCGCAGCGCCTCCAGCGACACCATAGAGCTCTGAGCCGGCTTGGGGTAAGGCCCGCAGGACAGCCGAGCTTTACACACTGGCCCACTACAGCCCCGAAACAGCCAGGCGGGAACCCACAATCCAGCTTTTCTTTTTTAAATATCTCTATTTTTTTCAGCAGGTATTGTACTCAGAGGCCGTGATTTACACGGAACACAGGGTGAAGGGCATGGATTTGGGCATGGGGAACAGGGACCACGAGACTACCGGGTATGGAGAGGTGCCAGCTCGTCCAGACTGTCCTCTTTGTGCCAAAGAAATAAACCCATAACGTTTGGCTCTCGCCTCCCTCCCGTGGCTGGGAGACCCAGCCCTCGGGATTCAAAGCCTGTGTGTGGGGAGGGAGGCCTGGCAGAGGAAAGTGCTCCAGGCTTTGGTGATTACCCCTACCAGTGTTTCCCGGACCACCTCTCCTTTAATTCTCACAGACTGGAGTGCAGTATCCCCTCACCCATGTCAGGAGTCATGGTGGAGGTCATCTGCCCATGGTCCGCCTACAAATGACAAGTGGGGCTGACTGCAGGAACTTCCACTCCTGAACTGTCCCTCTGTGCCCCTTTGAACACTGCTTCAGGGACCATCCTTCCTCCTTCTCAGGCAGCCATCATTTTCCCAGGGTTTTAGAAAACTTCCCCAAAGTGGTAGTGATGGAGTGGGGGTGAGGGGTAGTAAGACAGAAGCTTCTCCATTTTCCAAGGTCTTTATTTCCTGAGATGAATAAATAAATGAATGGCTGAGGGAAAGGGGTGAATACAGAACAGGAGGTGACAGCATGCAGCTGGCAGGAGAGGGCTGTGGTAGCCCTGCCCCACAGGGACCCCTCTCATCCTGGGCAGGGGCCAAGGATCACTCGAAGCCACCAAAAGGAGAAACATTGCTCTCAAAATTCACACACCATGTGGCCCATCCAGTCGCCCCAGGCAAAGACCTGGTGGCATCCAGCTTCGAGAATACTTTTTCACCCCCAGGGGCAACACACGCCCAGGCCTGGGTGCTGGGCTGCTCTGTAAGGTGGGCAGGACATGTTGCCCCACTCTCAAAAGCAAACCAAATGGCTCTGACCATCCAGTAGGAGAGACACCAACCTCAGGGTGGCCTGAGTGGGAGATCCCACGCATGGCAGCAGGGATTATTTGCCCTTGATGAATCCCTCTAGCACACGGTCACTGCGCTCTGACAACCAGTAGCCAGTCATGGCTGCCACCGCTCCAATGAAGATGGCAGTGAACACCAGGTCGCCCTTTGCAGCAAGTGTGGCCAAAGCACAGATGATGACACCGAAGAACATCTGCTGCAGTACCACCAGCTCATCCTCCGTCATCTCCGAGAAGAAACCTGCTGACTCTGTGAAGAGAAGGCCAGGCCTGTCACTCCCAGCTGTTCCCATACACCTGACGCCTGCCAGCCTGATACACCAGGCACTCAGCCTATGAGAGGTGAACCAGGCCCAAGACCGTGTGGTGGGCAGGTCGGGTGAGTCCGTGTGACCTGTGGGCCAGCTCCAAAGCCAGAAAGCCCCACTATGAATGCCAGCTCTGCACCCTGCTGCCATGTGACCCTGGGAAGTGCCTTCGTCTCTCTGCGTCTTAAGTTTCCACATATGAAAAACAGGGATGAGAGACACTATGGGGCTGGGTGGCTTCAGGGTGCTAAACAGGTTACAGGTGGAATGTGCTTGGAACAGAATGTGACACAGTAAGAGTCGTGGATTTGGTCTCTGCTCATCACTGTGATTCCCTTCATCTCACCAGCCAGGGCCTACAAAAGGCTCTCAGGGACCAGAGCAAGGATGGTGCCCACTAGAGAGAAGAGGCAACAACAGGCCTAGGAGGCACAGTGGTTTTTGTTTTTTTTTTTTTTTTTGGTACCGGGGATCGAACTTGGGACCTTGCGCTTGCGAGGCAGGCGCTGGAACCACTGAGCTAAATCCCCAGCCCAGAGTGGTCTCTTTCTTAGAGTGAGGCTGCTGACAGCTGAGCTGGAGAGCAGACACAGGGTATGGGCCTCGACAACCTCCTGGGGGCTGGGGGTCTGTCACTGATGCTGCCACCTAGAGAAGGGGCTGGACCACACTCCCCCCGCCCCATGAGGACACACCCCTCTCAACCCCCTCACCTGGGATCTGCTCCTTCACACAGATGCCCTCTACCTGCTTGTAGCCCTGGGTGCAGATGCAGCGGTAGCCACCCTCGGTGTTCTCACACTTCTCGTTCTCTCCTGGACACACCACCGTCTCACACTCATCCACATCTGAGGGAGGGTGGGACTGGTCAAGGTCAGCACCCCAACTCTCAGTGCATCCTGCCCAGCTCCACCTTTTACTCTTCATGCCCTGCCCTGCCCCTGCCCTCAGCCCACAAGCAGAGACTCACCAAGACACTTGGAGCCCACCTGCTGGTAGCCAGGGCTGCACTTCTTGCAGCGGCCTGGCCCTGCCCCCATACAGCCCAGACAGGCCCTGGCGCAGTCTAGGGAATGGAGAGATGAGCTGGAGCTGCCCACAGGCCAGGGAAGCCATGCTCCAGAGAGCAGGCCCAGGACTCCAGAGCTGAGGGCAGCCGCATCCCCTCTGCAGAAACAGACACTGACCTCGGCACTCATAGGCGCCTTCCATGTTCACACAGAACTGGTTGGCTCTGCAGTTGGCTCGCTCTGTCCCACACTCATCGATGTCTGCAGAGGAGGGCAGGGCGGGAATTTCAGTCCCTACTGAACTAGCAAGGAAGCTGAGTCCAGGAGACTGCAGGCAGCCAAGGACCACATTCTCCAGCTGCCTTGCAGCTGAGTGTGGTCTGGCTGAGCTTGGCCCACAGCATGAACAGAAGTAGCTGGTCTGCTTGTAGCTTGGCCTTGACCCAATCTTCCCCTCCTTGAGTCCTGACCAAAGGTGCCCGTGACTCAGGACCAATCATGTAGATAGTGCCTAAGGGGATGACTGTGCAGGAAGACAGAAGGATCCTGGTCCCTGAACAGCTGTGACAAGCAGAGCCCCCACTAGACTGTGATCTGAGGAAAAAATAAACTTCTGCTCTTTAAACCACAGTCTTTAGGGATGTCTCTGTCACAGCAGCCTATCCTTCACCCTAGTCTACAGAAGTGGAGACAGGGACCCCCAACTCCAGACCCCTGTTCCTCTCTCTGTCTGTGAGCTGCAGATAGCATCTGTCCTGTGCCTGCTTTCCAGCAGGCTGGGTCTCCACACAGGTGTGTGTGCTCCAGCAATGAGGCCCTACTCACCCACACACTTGAGGTGATGGAGGGCCCAGCCCTTCTTGCACTGCAAACACTGTGACTCCTCAGGTCCTGAGCAGCGGGCACAGGGGCCAAAACAGGCTGTGTGGGATGAGGACAGTATAAGGATGGGCAGTAGGTGCCCTTTCCACGTCACCCAGCACCATATCTGCCGCTACCTACCCGAACATACCAGATGGCTGGTGTTGCGCTCCGCCTCAAAGTAACCAAGGCCACACTGGCCACAGGCCTCGCCCCCGTAGCCGTCTTGGCAGTCACAGTGCCCACTGCCCCCTCGAGTACCTTCCCCTTGGCACTGCCCGTAGCCACCGCAGGGTCTCTCCATGCCCCCCGGACAGGCTGCAGGCAGACACCAAACTAGGTGAGTTCATGTATTCAACGCTGACAAACAACAGAACATGTTCTACGTATTGTTAAATTATATCTGCAGAGGAAAATTAATTTTTTTGTTTTAGAAAAATTAATTTTAAAGATCACATAAATCTGGGGATGGTGGTGCTGGGCATGCTATAATTCTAGCATTCTGGGAGGCTAAGGCAGGAGGATCATGAGTTCTCACCTAGCCTAGGCAACTTAGCAAAACACTCTTTTAAAAATTAAAAAAAATAATAAATAAATAAAATAAAGGCCTGGAGATGTAGCTCAATGTGAAGGCCCTGGGTTCAATCCCCAATACAGAAACCAATCGACCATCAATCAATATCTCATAAAGTCTGGGGACATAGCTCAAGGCATTGTGTTCTACTCCCAACATCACCAAAAACAACAGAAACACACAAACAAAGCATATTTTGTCACTTAATCAATATCCTATTGTGGATCCAATTGTTGTTTAGCAATTGTGTGTGTGTTGCTGGGGATTGAACCCAGGGCCTTAGCAAGCACTTCATTACTGAGTTATAACCCCAGCCCCAAGTCTTTCTTTCATAGACTGAATTGAATACTAAGCAGCTAACAGGAGAGACTTTCCTAAAAGGAGCAAGTCCAGCTCCTGTGTCAGGATTGCAAGAGTAGGGGGTTGCAACCATGAGGGCTTCAGGCAGTACCTGCCCCTCTGCAGGAAGTTAATGGCCTGGGAATGAGGTACCCTGGGAGGCCGGCACCTCCCTGATAGATGATAATAATCACACCTGCTTTGGACTCAGTCCTGTCCCACCCTGTACCATTTTCAAAGCCTTTTGCCCCTTACTGGCCCCAGGAGGCAGTTAAGAGCTGAGGGCCGGAGAAGGTATCTGAACGGTCCAAGCTTATCAGCCAGCCAGGCAGAACCCTGGTCTCAGCATCCCTCCCTTCCCCCAAGAGGCACTGGAAAAACTCACGAAGGCAGGAGGGTCCGAAGGTGCCAGCAGGGCAGCAGAGCTTCAGAGAGTCTGAGCAGAGCCACTGGAAAAGGTCTGGTGCTTCCTGCTGCCTGAGGCAGGGGGAGGCCAGGTCAAACAGAGAGGCACTGAGCCAGATCAGCGAGGCTGCCCTATACCTCCCACAGAATCTGCCACGTGGCCCATCTTGAGCGTAAGTCCCACTGGGCCACTTCACCAAGGCCCTCTGCCCATCTGGCGGACAGGTAAACAGGCTCAGAGTGGGAGCTTAGGTGCCTTAGAAAGTCCTCAGAAGATCTGGGTTTGGAAAGCACCCAACAAGGCCCTGGCCCCATGTGCAACCCCTGCTTCTTGCCAAGCTGAGGCTGAGGTCTGCTCCCGGGGAGGCCCCTTGCCACTCACTTGTGAAACCACCAGCTCTCCACCAGTTCCTCACTCAGCTCCAGCAGGCGGTGGCACTCGAAGTCCGACTTGCTGCACACGCCTTCCAGCACCTCTACCAGGCGAGTCTCACTGACAAACGGCAGGGCTGGTGGGAATGCACCCCACCCACCCTTTCTCCCCAGATCTCTCTCCACCCTTCCTCAGGCCTGTGACAATAGCATGGAGAAGCCATGACACAAGAGGAAAGAGGTACTGGTTCTGGGACTCATATCTGTGTTCAAATCTAGCTGTACAACCTTGGGCAAGCCACTACACCTCTCTGAAACCCATTTTCTCATCTGTAAAATGGGGACAAGACATCCTGTGCAAATTTGTTGAAAGCTACTGCAGTTTCAGCTGGGCGTGGTGGTGCAAGCCTATAATCTCAGCACTGGGAGGCTGAAGCAAGAGGATCACTGAGTTCAAACCCACCCTAGGCTACATAGTGAGTTCAAGGCCAGCCTTAACTACGTAGCAAAACCCTGTCTCAAAGGAAAAGAAAAAAAAAAAAGATGGGCTGGGGATTTAGCTCAGTGGTTCCAGCACCTGCCTCAAAAGTGCAATGTCCTGAGTTTGAGTCCCATACAAAAAAAAAAAAGATACTGTCATCCCTGGATCTGAATAAGAATTCACCCTCACTGGGTAAGTACGATTACAAATATCTCAAAGAGCTCAGGGCACAGCTTGGCTGTATTGTTTTCCTGACATGTATGAGGCCCTGGGTTCAATCCCCAGCACCATCACACACGCGCGCGCACACACACACACACACACACACACGCACGCACATGCATGCATGCACATATATCATAAAACAAGTGCTGGCAAGGAGGCAGAAAAACTGGAACCTTATGAAGCCTTACATCTACACTGCAGGTGGAATGCAAAATGGGGCAAGCACTGTGGAAAAACAGCTTCTCAGTACGTGGACCAAGGAACTATGACTCAGCACCTCCACCCCCAGGCATATGCCCAAAAGAATGGGAAAGAAGTTCCCCAACAGAAACTTGCACACAGATGTGCAAAGCAACCATATTCATAAAGCCAAAAGGGAGAAACAACCCCAATGTCCATCAATTGGTGAATATTTAAATAAAATGTGATAGATCCATTCAACAGGATATTATTTACCCATAAAAAGGAAAGAAGTAGTTGGGCACAGTAGTGCATGCTGGTAATCCCAGCTATTGAGGAATCTGAGGCAGAAGGACTGCAAGTTCAAAACCGACCTGAGCAACTTACTGAGACCCTATCTCAAAATAAAAAAAAAAAGGGGGCTAGAGATGTGGCTCAGTAGCAGAATGCTCGCCTATTGTGTGCCAAGGCCTGGGCACAATCCCCAGTACTGCAAAAACAAAATAAAACTATACAGGGAGACTCTGTCTCAAAAAACAAAACACCTCCCAAGGGCTTTCCATCACACAGAACAAATTCAAAACTCCTTGTTGGATCCCTCACACCACCAAACACACTTTACTCACGACTCCAGCCACTTCTGAGATCTACCAAGCTCCAGCCATCCCTCTCCCAAATCCTTTCCCATCACCACACCACTTGTGTCTTCACCTCAGGTCTCTGTTCAAATGTCACACCCAGCACACCTTGTTTCCTGCCCTTCTGGAGTCTTCCTTACTTTACTGTTCTTCACCTGACATAGCATTATTTATGCATTCACTGTTATCTCTACACTACGACTGAGTGCCACATAGATCTCGATTTGTTCGCTGATGTACTACAGATGTCCAGGGACAGCTGCTGAATAAGTGCTCCCCAAGAGTCCCAGCCCCCCACCACTTGGGCAGAAACCCGAAAATGGGTTTCCTCTCTACCTTTACCTTACCTGTCTTTATATTTGGATAATTTCTCTTCCTCCCAAGCAGTATTTCCACCTCCAAAGTTGTCCCGGATGGTTCTCTCCAGGCCCTGTGCATGGAGTAAATTAGCAATAGCTGAGTACAGAGCCTGACACACTGTAGCACTTCACTATGCTACTGACCAGGAAACTGGGGTAGACAGGCAACCAGCCCACATCTACACAGCCTGTGAGCAGCCAAGACGGACCTCAAGCAGACGCTCAGCCGGGCCCCTCCCTCGAGGCGCCGATGCACCCACCTTGTAGAAGCTGTCCACCAGCGCCCGGCACGTATGGCAAGGATGGGGCTCGGGTGGAGGAGGAGAATGGGGCGGTGGAAAGGCCTGGAGACACACAGGGCCTGGGAGGCTGAGGAAGAGGTTCAAGGCCCAGAGCAAGGCTGAAACCAGGACCCTCGGGGGTTGTGGGGCCATCTTTTCCCAGGCTGGGGACCTGCAGATAGTGTGTGGGCAGGGCTCACTGGAGCCAGGCTCTAGATAAGAAAGGGGAGCCCAGACCCGCGTTTGTACCAGTAAAGGAGGAAAACGGGGTCACTGGAAGGGCGGCATCAGGTGGGAAAAGGATCTACAATCCTTTTCTACAAGAAAAGAAGTTATCCCCGTTACCGTGGGGGAGGTGGCCTGGATCCTTGGCAATGGGGCAAGAGTCAGCCCATTGTTTTAGAGTCTCAGTAAGTTATCAGGAGCTAGATCAGCAGAATTTGGGAGAGGGGATCAGATTCCAAAAATTAGGAGCGAAGAGACCGGATGGGCGTTCTCGGGGGAGGAGTCCGGAAACACGGTGTAGGAGAAGCGCGGATCCGGATGTGAAGAGAAGGGGTCAAATTCCGAGCCTCACAGACAACAAAGGCAAGGCCCAGGAGCCGGGAGGGGAGTGTCCAGACCCACTCAGACCAAGGGGGAGGAAAACAGGCCCGCCCCAAGCCCCGGGCGCAGTCTGCCGTCTCCTCAACGCCGCTGCCACCACCTCTTGCGCAAAACGTACAACCTCCCACAGCGCCGCGTTCTGGGGGCGGGGCTGCCTCCCAGCCAATGAAAGAGGGCCATGTGCCAGGGCGTCACCCCACACCACCCAATCAGAGGCAGCGCCGAGTTGCACCTGTCCAGACTTTAAAGGGCCGTGGGCAGGCAGGGAAACGGCTGCCTGGGTAGCCGCCGCGCCGCAGAGGTCAGAGAGGTCAGAGGCGGAGACGGGTGTAGAAAACCAGTTGTGCTTTTATTCAAGTCCTGCCTCCAACTCCGGGCCCAACCCGCGTGGCGGGGGCCGGAAGCAGCTGTCCAGGACTGGCTGAAGGGCGCGGGCCACCTGCTCGGCGCTGTCTTCTAGGCGCCCGAAGCGTGCCGCGCAGGGCCCCTGCAGGGCGCTCAAAAAGCCGCGCAGCTGGGAGGGCAGGGAGAAGAGCGGCGCGGCGCGGAAGAGCGAGGGCACGGCGTCCAGGGCCAGCAGGCCGTCGAAGCAGGCGCCCACGTAGCGGCCAGACGCCCGGCCTTGCAGGAAGTCGGGCAGCACGCAGCTGAGCGAAGCAGCAAAAGCGTCGTGCGGGCCGTGCGCTCTCGGCGCCGGCGGTCCATCCTGCAGCCACTCTCGGCACAGCGCCACGGCGCCAGGCGAGAAAAGCAGCACCACCACGCCGCGCTCCTGCAGGGTCTGCCGCCGCTGCGCGTGCAGCCAAGCCAGCGGGCCCTGCGCGCTCAGCTCGCGCCGGCTCCACAGGTCCACGGCCACGCGCAGCGGCAGCCGACTCAGCGCCGTCGCCAGCGAGCCCACCAGGCTCTCAAAGGCCGTGTTGTCCGCCGAGTAGAGCAGCAGGGCCGCACGGACCCCGGCGGCAGCTGTAGGAGAGAGCAGAGCAGAGGGTGGGAGTGGGGCGGATCCCCTGCTCCAGGGGCCTCAGCCACACTGTCGGGAGAGGGCGGACAGCTGTGAGCCGACGTCTCCAGGCCTACACGGGACAGGTGGGTGCTCACCTTTCCCGCGGTCCTTACGGAGGAGGAGCAGGAAGAGAAGCACAGCAGCAAGGAGCAGGCAGGCCAGCCACACCAGTGCCCAGCGCCGGTGGACGTCTGCGAAACCCGGAGGAGGAAGACAGGCTGTTAGAACCCTCGAACTTCACCCCGTTTCGCAGAGGAGAAACGCTAAGGCTCTGGGACACGAGTGATTTGGCCAGATAAGTGACTTCTGCCTTGGTTTTCACATCTGTAAAAGTGGAGTACCACTACTACTAACAAAGCCCTGAACGCAGTACTGCCAGGGGGTTCAATTGCCAGCTAGTATTATTGTTCCCTAAGCCCCAGGCTGCTGGGGCCTTGACGTTGCTGCCTCAGATGACTGCAGTAGCCTCCGAACTGATGGCTATTTTTCTTTTTTTTCTTTTTTTCCTCCAGTCTATTCACAATTCTGGCAGCTGGAAAGATCTTAAAAGTTTTATTATAACCTTTCAGCAAGCTTCTGTTCTGCTGGTCTAAACATTAAGCCCAAATTCCCTCCTGTGGCGTATCTTCCTAACAGAGCCCTGCCTGCCCAAGACCCTCAGGGGAGTCAGTAGATATTGAAGCCTTTGAATTTCTCAAAAACCCACAGCCAGCGATTTAGTTCAGTGATTTCCACCACCTGCCTCAAAAGCACAAGGTCCCGAGTTCGATCCCCGGTATCAAAAAAAAAAAACAACCCACAAAATAGTACCTTCACCAAAATGCAACTATGACAGGGTATGGTGGCACATGCCCCTAATTTCAGCTATTCAGGAGCCCGAGGAGGGTGGTCAAAAGCTCAAGGTCAGTTTAGACAACTTAAGACCCTATCTTTTTCAAAAAGAGCTGGGGACGTAACTCAGTGATAGAGAACCTCTTAGTGTGCAAGAGGCCCTGCATTCAATCCCCAGAAGCATCAAAATAAAAAAGGCATCTCTGCTCCTTTCACCTATCTCAGCCTTCAGAGTGCAGCTAGAAACTTTGCCCTGAGTGCACATCCCACCTGTCAGGTCCCCCTAAGAGTAACTGGTTAATCTGGCTTATGTGCTTTTAGCCTTCTATTGGTGGGGCAGGATTCTGTCTTTTCTGTGTTCCTGGGGTCCCAGCAAGCTCTCATGTGTTTTGAATGAATAAAGGAATGACCAACCCTCTGAGTCATTGGAGCCCAAGGAAGAACAAAGCTATTGCATGGGAAGGGGAGTTTTCATAATACTCACACTTGTCCACAGGGCAGGCCCACAGTGCTCCCAGGTCACCATTCCACAACTGTAAGACACAAACATGCCCCAAGTTCCCAGCCTGGTGTTCAACACCCACCAATTTCTGAGGCAGCTGACTCCAGATTCTTAGCCCCAGTTATGAATAGCTCCCACACCACAGCGGGTTACTGGAAGCTGCTCTGCCTTTGATTAAGTCATGTCTACTGCCTACAGGCCAACTTCTGTGCCCACAACGAGCAGGGATTTAATTCAGTGGAAGAGCACAGGCTTAGCATGTTCCAGGTCCTGGGTTCAAACCCTGACCCCAGAAGCAAATCTGGCTCACAAGAAGAGATCTTTCCTTTTTTTGTTGTTGTTTTGTTTTAAGTTTGGTTTTGTATTTTGAGACGGTCTCTCTATGTGATTCAGGCTGGCTTGAACTCACTATGTAGCCCAGACTGGACTTGCACTGGCAGTGACCGCCTGCCTCAGCATCTCAACTGCTGGAATTGCATGCTGCCTTGAAGCTCTCTCTGGAACTACTTAGCACCTATGAGTGTGGTTATCTGTGTACTGGTCTAGCCAGCATGAGTTCCGTGGGCACAAGAACTGTGCTTCCTTTAATTTCCTCAGGGCTGGACATAAAAAAGCATAGATAGTAAGTAGGTGAGTGCTAGTTTTAGGGGTATTGTTCTTGGCAGTGGGGCAGGGCCCTCCTCCTAGCTACTCACCTTCAGACACTGCCCTGACTGTAGGTCTTCCAGCAACTGCTCTCCAAGGTGAGCTGCCCTCTGCCAAGCCAAGGGATTAGAGGCTGTCACCTGGGGGAGCACCCTGAGGAGACTGCCAGACTGCAGCTGGGAAAACTGGGAGAAGAGCTGGAAGACTTGAGTGGCCACTGAACAGAGCCCAGGTCTGAGTTACACACACACCCCATCCCCAGAGATCAGCACAAGGTCTAGCACAGAGTAGGGGAACTGTGGATGGAGTGAAAATGAGAGGCCAGGTTTGAGATGGACCTGGTGAGGTCTGTGGGAGAAAGTCCCCTGGCCCTCACCGTGGTGGCCCTGCTGGGCAGTGGTGTACAACCCGTGGGTTCCAAGGCACAGAGTGATCGGTTGTGCTGGGAGCCCTGGGTCTCCACCAGCAGCACATCATCCTTGAGGGGCCCCAGGGAGTCTGGGAGGAGTGAGAGGGCACTCTGAGCATGACCCAGCCTTGCTGGGAGCTGCCACAGCCCCTTCCCGTCCCCTAACTCATCCCCCAAGCCGGCCCTCCAGGTGCACCCTGACTACAGCAGCCCTGCCCCAGCCATGCAGGGGCCCCACTCACCAGACCACAAGCACTCCTGCAGCTGTACCTTCTCCCAGCTGCGCACCTGTCCGGAAGGGGGCAGAGTTAGGGCCATGAGGAAAAGCAAGAGCTATACTTGAAAGGCCAGAAAAGAAGGGGCAGGCCAAGGGGAAGACTGTCGGGTAGGAATTTGCACTCTGGACCTGGGTTTAGGCAAACCTGGCCCAGGGCTGCATGATGATGAGCCACTCCATCATCCTCCATCCTAGCCGTGAGTGCCTCTGTGCTCACAGGTGTTCTGAGGCCTTAACAAAGTACAGCATTTCCTTCTTATCAGCCACCTTCCCAAAGAGACCCCACTTAAAGTCACAACCTCGGTCCTCCCTTGCCCCCCACCTTTACCGTGGTGTTTGTACACGATGGAAGCTGACTCTATTTTGCTATGGAATATTGTTTCCCACTCTCCATTAGAACATTGGTTCTCTGAAGACAGAGACATTTGTTCACCTACAGATCACAGTGCCTAAGATAGTGCCTGGCAGAGTAGGTGCTCAGTAAATCTTGAGCATTATTTTATAATAATCCTTGGATGTTAGCAAGCTGTTCTACAGGTGGGAAAATAGGATCGTGATAGCAATGATTGGAGCAGCTAACATTTGCAGTTTAGTCTGCAGTCCTGAAGGCAGGCACTTCTCTCCTTCCTCTTCACAGCCTCTCCCAGGAGCACCTATTACCATCTGCTTGAGACACCTGAGGAGCCTGATGTGACTTGCTCTGGTCCTGCAAACTGCTAAAATCAGTGAAACTCTCAAGAGGCTGCTGCTAAGCACTATGCCCTAGAGCCCAAGAATAAAGGGGTGCAAAGCTGCAGCTTGTGTGGGGGTCTCCACCCCGGTCCAGCACCCCGAAGCACCTTTCTGACCTGCACACAGAGGTTGGGGTGGCCTTCCACCACAGGAAACTCGCTCGCCTTCTGTGGAAACCAGGGAGTGAGTGAGGGCAGACAGAGACACCCTGGGCCCCTCCCTCTCTTGCTCTGGGCGCCACCCTCCGCCTCGCTTACATTCACAGTGACATTCTCCGGGGACAGCGGTGGCATTAGCGGCTGGCAGGGGTCCCCGCCCGGTGACTGCCAGCACAGCATCACTTCTGCGGGCAGTGAGCAGGGCATGTCCAGCCGCCAGCTCTTTGTGGACAGCAGCTGCACCCGGGCTGCGCGCCACACGTTCCTGTGCGCTTGAGGATCTGTGGCAGACACGGTCACGAGCAGCTGCCCGTCCCCCACCCACACAATCCCCAGCCGCTCTTGGCAATCTTCTCACCTTCCTTGAAGGGGCAGATGCTGGTCCTGACCGGGTCGGGCTCCAAGGGCCACATCTGGAAAGAAGAAGGCTCAGGTCACTTCAACACAGCCAGCCCTCCCTCCATGAGCAAGCGCCAGGCCTCCAATAGGCACCCAGGACACACATGTTCAGCTCAGTGCACGGGTGCTTGCAGTCTTCTGGCTCTTTACAAAGCTTGGCTGCAAAAATGTATTCTTTCAGCAAACACAATGCCCAGTGCAAGCAACATCTTCAGTGGACTTTTTTTTTTTTTTTGGAATTGAACTCAGGACCTTGCACTTGGGAGGCAGGTGCGGTGCCACTGAGCTAAATCCCCAGCCCTTCAGTGGACTTTTAATGAGTGTTTACTGTGCTTGGCAGCACTGGGCACCGGGGTGTTCAGTGATGGGTGACACTTCATCCATGATCGCTTTATGAGCATGTTGTTTGTGTAGGTGCTAAGGACCCACTCATTTATTCTTTCAACAAACTTTGTATGTCCATGTATATGTATGTGTGGTGCAAGGGATTGAACCCAGGGCCTTCACACTGAGCTACATCGAGAGTCCCTTCAAAAATTTTTTTTCCTTTAGTTATTAAATTACCCAAGCTGGGCTCCTGTACCACCACACCTAGCTCAACAGACATTTTTTTTTTTTTGGTACCAGGGATCATACTCAGGACCTTGCGTTTTCGAGGCAGGCAGCAGCACCACTGAGCTAAATCCCCGGCCCTCAACAGACTTTTTAAGGCTATCTTTTCACCTGTAATCCTAGCATGTGGGAAGCCGAGACAGGAGAATCACAGGTTCAAGTCCAGACTCAGCAACTTAGTCACTTAGTGAGACCCTATGTCAAATTTAAAAAAAAAACAACAAGAGGGCCTGGAAGATATACCTCAGTGTGAAGGCTCCAGGTTCAATCAATGCAGAGGAGGAGGAGGAAGAGGAGGGGGATGGGGAAAGAAGAAATAATTAGATGGTCAGATGTGAAAGGAAGTATACATAGACAAGGAAGGATGAAAGAAGAGTACATGGAGACGTACAAGGGGCAGCTAGGAGACAGCTGACTGGGGGAAAGCCTTGGGGAAGAGGCAGCCTATGATCTGGGAGGATCTGGTTGTCTGGAAAAGGGGTGAGGATGTTTCAGGTAGTGAGAATTGCCTGACCAAAACTGCCTGAGGCACAGCGGTGGGTGTATCCTGATAGGCACCTCCCTCAGATATGACAGAGTCCCAGTAAAGGGGCATCTTGGGGGAAAGATAGTGGGAAAGGTTCAGCTGGGGACAGAGTATGGGGCCTGACATGCCAGAGAAGCCGTGGGAAGGGACGTGGAGCCAGAGGTTATTGAAAAGAATAAAGGAGAGATGACAGAGGCCCAAGCTGGCCCCAGATGGAACGAGAGAGAATGAAAGCCACTCAGAGTTCAGTGACTGGGATCTGATGACCAATTAGATGTGCAGAGGGAGAGGAAAGAGCAACATTTTTAACCCTGGAGGTGGCACACTTCCTTACAGCAGTGCTGTGAGGCAGGGTACCCTATTCCTAGTTTACAGATAGGAAATAAGCTCAGAGAGGTAGTGACCCACCCAGCAAATGGCAAAAGCGAAAATGATACCAAAGAGCCTGGCCCACGGCTTTAGCTCTGACCTCCACAGCAGCACAGGAGGGGGCATGAAGTGGAAGTGGGACACTGTGGGTGGAGGGTTAGCAAGGGCACTCAGGTGGAAGGGCTCAGGACAGGTGGAAGGCAAAAGGAGAGGGAGGGACACCAGCCACCCCAGGGAGCCGCCCGCTGAGAAGTGAGGCCGCCCCTCACCACCTCCCAGTCCTCTCCCCCTGGCTCCCAGCTGTACTCTGCTCCTACCTGAATACAGAGGCAGGGAACCAGGTCTGTTTGGTTCAAGGTAATGGTCTGTGGCCCAGTCTGGGGGACAAGCAGAGGAGGGAAGTTGAAGGTAAGGAAGAGGAAGGGGGGAGGCTGAGGAACAGGCAAGCAGAAGTCCCCACCAAGGTTCCCTTGTTCTGGGTGTGAACATTTCAAGGGTCCCCTTCAATCATGTATTCACACCCTTAGAAGGGCATCACCCTAGAATGGAAATGGATCTGGGGATAGACGGGAGAAGCCTCACCAGATTTCTGTGCCACCAGGGTTTTAGGGAACCCTGGACTTGATTCCAGTATAGCAAGAGGCCAAAATGCTGCTCCTCAGAGACGTTGAGTACCAGGTGCACACTGTCACCATCTGTAGACACGTTGAGCCAGGGCAGGACTGATGGGGGAGGCACAAAGGGGACAGCTTACACCCCACCTTTCTGCACACCCACACCTGGGCTGTACTCATAAACTGGTCCTCTGGAGTCTCATTCATACCCTTAGACTAGGAGCCCTTGGGGGCAGAGGCGGTGTCCCTATCTCAGACAAGCCTGTCCTAGCCACTGGCCCGGAACCAGGCCCATGGAGGTATTTGGTGTTGGGATAGCTCTTCTCCCTGGTCTCCCTCAGCAGGCAGTGCTTAGTAAACAAATCACTCTCTAGTTCTAGAACCCTCTCATCCAGCCCCCCAGTTGTCCCAGTAAAAGGTCTAGTCCTGGGCCAGGGATTTAGCTCAGTGGTTCCGCCACCTGCCTCGAAAGCACAAAGATCCGAGTTCGATCCCCAGTATGAAAAAAAAGGTATAGTCCTTACAGCACCTTGCAAGGCCTCAACCAATCTAACACTGTGATCTCTCTAACCTCATCTCTTAGCACCCTTAATTACTCTTAGTAATTAGTGGCCTTCATTACTCTGCTGCAGACACACTGGGTTTCTTGCTGGTCCTTGACCACCATGTCACAGTCCTGCCCCAGGACCTTTGTGATGGCTCTTTTCTCCACAGAGAATCCTTCTCAATACTGGCACAGGCCCTCCCTCACCTCCTCTAGTAAAGTGAGGTCATCCCACTGCTGCAGTGCCCAACCTTGCCATCCCTCTTCCTTAAATTTTCTCCATATCTCTAATCACCATCCAATTTATTGTGTGCATCAATCTCCGTGCATTTATCCTGTCCTCCCCCAGCCTAAATTTGACCCTGACTCCTAGCTCCATAAGGACAAGGAGTCTTGTCAGTGTTCTTTATTGATTTACTTCAGTGCTAGGGCAATGCCTGGTGCAGCATAACTGCTCAGTACATATCTATTGAATAAGTAAAGCAGTGTCCCCTGAATGAAGGAAGAAATGAAATACATAGTGTATCTATGTTTTCAAAGCTCTGGTGCTGAGCAGTCCCCACCCCACCCCATCCTACCCCTGGCAGTGAAGATGGAACCCAGGGCCTTCGAACTGAGCTATATTCCCAATCCTTTTTAATTTTTTTTTGAGATAGGGTCTTGCTAAGTTGCCCAAGCTGAGCTCAAATTTGTGATCCGTCTCAGCCTCCCAGTACTAGGATTACAGGCTTGTACCACACCTGGCTCTGAGTAGTATTTAGTGGGTTAACAAAGAAGCAGCCTAAATCTAAGTTAAAGAGATCAAAAAGAAAATGGAGTTGAAAGAATTTAATAATCAGTGTTTATATCTTGATATTAGTGATGCATGTGTATTCATGTATGTGAAAACTAACTGAACCAGACATTAAGATCAATGCACTCATGTACTTTCTGCATGTACGTTATACACATAGAATAAATAAAAAACAAAAGTAAAGTCCAAAGTAAAATAGAAGAAAAACCAGAACCTTGACTTTCTTAGCCTAGCCCTTATTTCAGGTTTAATTTTATTTTGACATATGGAAGGGGGCACCACAATGTTGAGAATGCTTTGGCCCTCTATATGTCCCTGGTATAAATAAATATTTGTTATAAGTGAGAGATTCATCTTTTTATTTCCAGTGCCAGGCACAGAATAGCAGCTACAGCACTTCATATATTATGAATGCATGGACAAACGAATGAATGAATGAATGTGCTCTGTGAGTTTCCAGGGTGTGGCAGCCCAGATCTGAATCTAATTCTGTCCTAACCCTAACCCTAACTTTAGACATGCCCTCCCTCCCCCCAGCCCACTGGCCCTAGCCCCTACCCCAGCAGCTCTGGATGCTGTCCCGGACTTCGAGCCCCCTGCAGTCTGGGGAGAGATCACAGAAATGTATCCAGTGGGTCTGGGCCCCAGAGAAAGAAGGGGGGCAATCCAACACATGGGGGTGCTGGGAAGGGCTCCTTGTCCCCTAGAGGCCACCCACATCTATTCAGTGCACAAAACACCAAGGGCTGGGGAGGCCATGTCACCTGGAGAGAGAGGCCCAAGGGACTGACTCAGGAGGAGGCCAGCTCAGGCCCCTGCCTAAGTGGACAGGATAGAAATAAGTTGAAAGCAGGAGGGGAGTGGGCACGGGGACAGAGCCTGTGGAGGCCATGCCTGGGACCTCTGAGGCTCTGGGGCACTTACCAGGCAGCTGCTGCATGAGGTTGAGTTCCTTTTGGTACCTAGGCTGAGTGTAGGACCAGATTCGAACCTCGGCCCCCAGAGCAGCCTCGAAGCAATCAAACACCAGAGAGCCCTATAAGGAGAGAGAGGGTGGTGTCAGCCTCAGAATCCAGCCAGGGCTTGGGCTCCCTGCATGGACCATTCTGCTCACTGCCCCTCCTCCAACCAACGACTGTGTATACTGGACAGCCTCCCATCTACACCATTAGACTCCCTCCCCCTGGAGCACCCCAGGTCCGCAGCACACATCCTCTGTAAAGAGTCCCTGCAAAGCAGGCACAGTCAGTCCTTAGCTGTTTGGGTCCTTGCCTCAGCCCTGCTGTTTGGGATGCCCTGGCCAAGACCGAGCTGATAAGACACCCCAACACAAATGTAGGAGCCCCTCCCGATAGAAGTCCCTAGCTCAGTGCCTCAGTGGTCCTCAGGACTGCTTTGGGAGGTGGCCAAGCAGTTCTTCCACAGGTCAGTTTGCTAACTTGGAGCAGAGGTGGGGCGGGAGGGGACATCAAGGCTCTGAGTCATCTGGCTCCAATGGAGTCAGAACTTCTGACTACACAGGCCTCCCTATACCGAGGTCTGCACCATGGTATGATGGGATTTGTCTTCTTAGTCAGAGAGCCCCACAAACCACCTTTCAAGCCTCAGTTTCTTTATCTGGAAAGGGAGGGCAATAATAATGCATAGTTTATGGGGGTCATTTTCAGGGTTACAAAAGAAAGAAGAAACTAAATTTATTGAGACTCTTCAGTGATAGGCATTTCACCAAGTGTGTTACAGATAGGGTAGTAGGACTCCTTGTTTCTTTTGTGGTACTGGGAATTCAACCCAGGGGTGCTCTACCACTGAGCTTCTTAGTTTTTGAGACCAGGTCTTACTAGCTAAAATTGCCCAGGCTGGCCTAGAATTTCAATTCTCTTGCTTTAGCCTCCAGAGTAGATGGGGTTACAGGCATGTGGTAAATGGGATTACAGGCATGTGCCAGCAACCCTGCCTTTTTCTTCCCCTTAGCACCTTTTATTAAAGTATAACCCCCAATGACAATCTGGCAAGCATATCTGTATCAGCTGAGAAATGAGTGGTAGAGAACTCAAATACAGAAACAATAAGATTCGGAAAAATAATAGCTTCACATGGGATAGATGACCTCCACAGTAATAAGCATGTGAAAAGGTGCTTGACTTCCTCAGTCATAAGGAATGTACAAATCAGGATCACGATACTGGATGGGGGTTTAGCTCAGGGGTAGAGCACTTGTTCAGCAGGCAGGAGACCCTTGATTCCATCCCCAGCACCATAAAAAACAAACAAACAAATAAACCCACATAGTGACATACCACTCCATATAAAACAGAATGGCTAAACTTTAAAATTATAATACAAAGTTTTGGCAAAGATGGGAAGCAACTAGAACTCCAGTGCTAGTGGGAGTGTAAAATAGTAGAAATGTCCCTGAAAAAAAATTGTTTGATAGTTTCTCACAAAGTCAAACATATGAAGGAGAACTAATTCTTAGTTCCATTTTACAGACAGAAGAACTGAGGAACAAAGGGCTGAAAGGTCTTTCCTGCTACTGTGATTCGAACCAGAACTTAGAGATAACACATGTTAAAGTGATGTATAAATCTCATGTCTAGAAGGTGGTGTTTTTTTTCACATACCACAGCCTGACCAGACTGCACCCGGGCAGCAGGCACTTGTACCTCCAGCAGGACACAGCGGGCAGTGGAATAGGCCTGGAAGGAGAGCACGACTTGGGCCTGGAGAGAGGCTGGGAGCATAGGCAGGAGTTAGAACCAATGGCTGTGGGGCAGCCCTGGTGCAGAGCAGTTGGGCCCGCTGGCTCCTCTCACCGTTCCTCAGCTCCTTGAGCTCCGGCTCAGCTGCTTCCCCAGACTTTTCCTCATCTTCAGGCTCTTCCCAGTGCCCTGAAAGGACCGGAGAGTGAGACCCAGGTCACGCCCTTGCTCTGGCCTGGCTTAGAGCTTGGCTTTCTTCCAGAAAGCCCAATGTTGGGAAGCAGGGCCCAACCTGCAGATACCCACTGGAGTGCGGGTATTTCGGCCTGTGCTCCTGACACACTGCCATGTGCACATGCACAGTCACAGGATGACTCGCTCACCATGCACAGCCAGCTGGACAGTCACACGCACACAGAGATCACAGCTGGTCTCCTGGTGGCACCGCAGCACCAGCTCCGCCTGCAGGTGTGTGGGCACCAGCACAGGGCCTGGCGCGGCCTCGATGCTCCCAAGCAGGCAGAGCATGTCACCATCTGTGGATGGATGAAGGGTGGGGTGGGAACTGAAGCTGTTCAGAACCCAGTTTGATTGCAGCTGATACCCCAGACAGCCAAGGAGCCTGGGTTTTCCTCAGCTGCAGAGGTGGGCAGGTGGGGATGGGGCTGGGATGGCTCCTCTCCCTTCCCCAAGCTGGGAAGTTCTCTTTTCTGTGAAAGTAGTGATACCTACCCCAGAGGTGGCAGGAGAGGCCCTGGGAAGAAGGAAAGGATAATCAGTTTATGCCAAGTTTAAGCACCTTCCTCTGCCCAAGACCTCTGCCTATCTCTTGCTGGGATTGGCTATTGCAAGCTCCTCCCACAGCAGACAGGATCAGCTCTTGCCCCTTCCCCTATTTTACCTTTGCCCAACACCAGACAGACCAGCCAGGGCAGTTCTGGTGGTGACAGGAGTGAAGAAACCAGGCTGGGGCTCTGACGGGCCCATTCGGAGCCTTGAGCCCTCCCCAGCCCTCCCAAGGCCCCAGACTCACTGGAGAGCAGCGGGCAGCATCCTGAGGCCCCACAATCCTCTCCAGAGAGATGACCGCGGGGTTTCGGCCCAGTGCCAAGGACAGCAGGAACCAGGGCACAGGCATCTTCCAGATGCCAGGCAACACCAAGCCTGAGGCCCTGTCCTGCCCCCCCAATGGGGGGGGGGCAGACACCTCTTGCCTTCCCTCACTTAGCCCAGGGTCTGTGGGTGGCGGGGGCTGGAATTCCTCCCCAGCCTTCAGGGTCCCTGCGATGGACAGCTCAGCACTCTCACTCCCAGAGCCCTGACTGCCCGTCCAGTTCCAGCAGAGTGCTTTCGGTTTGGCTCCCAGCAGGCAGCTGGCTGTTCCCGCCCCACCCTGTCCCTCCCACCAATCCAGGCCTGGAAGCCAGCAGCCAAGGACTGGGGTGGTGTCTTCTCCCTACTGCTGACACCTGGCTGGGAGGGGCCCTGGGGAAGGCCGCACAGCATCATGGCTGCGGAAGAGAGTGCTGAGTGTACTCCAGGGCCTGGGCCATCCAGCGACATTTCCACTTCTCATGTGACCCTTACCCAGGAGCCCACCCAGTGCCCTCTCAGTGTACACCCAGAGTCCCATGACACACTTTCCTGGCCTCAATGACCTTTTGTGGCACAGGAATTCTAAAAGCAGGGCCAAAGGGCACCGGCACGTGAGTGAGCTTTTCACCACTGCCTGGCCTAGACTCAAGTGTGGTATGGGGGAAGAACCCAGGACCCAGAGGTTCCCTTCTGCAGCTGCCACAGCTAGGTGAATGACAATGGACACCCCGCCTAGTGAGCCTGTTTTTCTTTTTCTTTTCTTTTTTGGTACCAGGGATGGAACTCCAGTCCTTGCACTTTCGAAGCAGGTGGCAGAATCACTGAGCTAAATCCCTGGCCTGTGAGCCTGTTTTTCCTCTCTCCTTTTGGAAGAATCACGATGAGGATTCAGGAGGCCTCCTTTGCATTTCCCAGGCATTTCGTGGGTGAGCAAGGGACACCAGGCAGGTGCCCATGTGGAGGATTTGGGCTCACAAGCTGACACAAACAGCGCCCAGGCAGGCCTATGCACTCTCCCCAGACTACTGCAGCATCAGGGCCACACCAGAGAAGCACACTGTGTTCCTTCATTTATCCACCATGCTTGCCTTTATTGGTCTTTCTGGATCTGTATACCCCCACCCACCCCGTGTGGCCCCCTTTGTCTGGGCCACCAGGGGCCAATCTCGAGTCAACCTTCCTCTTTCTCTTTATGGGCAGGACCTGGGTCTGGAAAGGCAGAACCCTGGCCTCCAAAGAGGTTTTCCCCCCAACCCCGCACCCGTACCCAGCCTCTTTCGGGACTGACCTAGCTGCTGCCTTCCCAACCCTGCCCTGCCTCTAGACTAGAGCGATGCAAGCTGCTCTCCTTCAGGAGCTGTGAAGAGAGGAAGTAGGGAGACAGCTCTCTGTGTCTGTCTCTCTGTCTCTCTGAGAACTGGGATTCTTGCAGGCAGGCAAGTATGAGGAAACTGTACACCAAGGCTTGGGCTGGGCCTCCAGGACCGGGAAGCAGACAAGAAGGCTTTTCAGCCAGCAGTTCTCAGAGGCGCGTCTGGGAATTCAGGCTAGAGGGCCCATGGCGGGGCTCCAGCCAGCGCCTGGCGGTGGTCGCAGACATCTGGGACCGCAGTGGAGCTCTGCCTGGCGTCGGTGGGCGAGTTGGGCGGCCTCGAGTTCCAGCCGGCGGCACAGTTCCAGGCGGCTCCGCAAATGCCGCGGAGCCCAGAGGTGGCCCCAGAGGGCGGCCTGGGGGGAAGGTCGCGCGCCCAGCGCCCGCAGCAGGCGCGGCCAGTCACGAAGCAGACGGTAGCGCGGCAGGGCGCGCAGAGGCCGGGGGATGTCGCCCTTGGCACAGAGGCGACTAAAGTAAGCCAGCAGCAGCAGCGGGCGCGGGGCGGCGCAGAGGAAGGCGCTTAGTGGCGTGGAGCGGGGGTCTGGGTCGCTGACCTGGCTGTGGTCCACGCCGCTCCACAGCAGCAGCACGGTGCCGCGCTCCCGGGCCATGCGCGCCCGCGCTGCCCAGAGCCAGGGCAGTGGGCCCATGCGCGCCACATGCGTCCCCTCCCAAAGGTCCACAATCACGTCCCGACCGCCACCCAGCGCGGTCCGCAGCAGTTCAGCCAGCGCTCCTACCAGGCGCCGCTGTGCTTCTGAGTCTGCGGCGTGCAGGAGCAGCACGGGCCTCGCTCTGTCTGGGCCTAGGGGCGGGAGCAACACCTGAACAGGGTTGGCTGGGGGAGCAGGAAGGACCCAGCCCTGTCCTCTCAGCCTCTCCCCGCTCCTGTCGGCGCTGAGGAGTCAGTATCAAAGCAGCCTGAGCCTATTCGGTGTTTGGAAGCTAATTAGATAAAGGCGCCTCTTCCCCAGCGAGCAAGAGTCAGGGCTCCAGGCTTGCCAGTGCAGCGCAGGCTGGACTTCTGCACTACTGACCTGTGTACTTGACCGACGTCAAGGTGCAGACTACCTGCAGAGGGTCCTTGGGACTGCCATAACCATCCCTGCCCACTGGGGGGCTGAGGCCCACCCCCTCGCATGGCAGAGACTGGGGGCAGCCGCATGGGGAGTGGGGGGAGGAGGGAGGGCATTTAGACTAGGACTGGACAAGTCTGAGTCCCTGGCTACCCCCAGGTGAGCTTACTTGACAGCAGGCGCCGGCAGGTGAGGACCACAACAACACCCAGGAGTATGGAGAGGCCCAGCAGCACCAGGGTCAAGAGCCCTAGGTGCCTGTGAGAGGCTGAAACAAGCAACATGAATCCAAACCCCACTCTTCAGTGGCCAACATCCCTCTTAACCCCTTGCCCAGGAACTCACCATCCGGACACAAGAGGCGCTTCCTGGCAAACTGGACGTCAGACCTCCACACCTGAGGGCACAGAGCCCCTACCCCAGTGAGCATAGCATCCCTTCCTTCCAGGGTCCCTTGAAGGAGGCTTGGGGTGAGGAGAGGGTCCCCACAGGTTAGGGAATTTCTCTAGCTCAGGCTGTCTCTGGTCCACTTCCAGGGTTGGCACAGAACATGTCAAGGGCGGCAAATGGAAGCATGATGGGGCCAAACACAAAAAGTAAACTCACAAAGTTGACCAAGGTGGCCGGGAGGACCTGGAGAGAACAGGCCAACTGAAAAAGTCAGATACCACTGGGCTCGAGGCCACTGTCTCCATGCCCCCATGTGGACACAGAGCACTAGGTTTTCTGATTTCTCAGGAGTAGCCAGAAATGTAGTTTTAAAAAAATATGCTGGTCATGGAGCACACCTATAATACCAGCACTTGGGAAGTAGAGGCAGGAGGATCACCACAAATTTGAGGCCAGCCTGGATTATATAGCAAAAAACCCCCAAAAAACAAAACAAAAAATGTTTGAGCCCAGCCCGAGCAACTTAGTGACTCAGCAAGACCTTGTCTCAAAATTTTAAAAAATAAAATAAAGGGCTGGGGATTTAGCTCAGTGGTTCTGCCGCCTGCCTCACAAGTGCAAGGACCCAAGTTTGATCCCCGGTACCAAAAAATAAATAAATAAAATAAAATAAGGGCCGAGGATTAGTGAAATCTCCAGTACTACAAAACTAAATAAATACAACACTATACTGGCCAACCAGACTTTCTACAGAGTCCATTTTCTATATGTGCTGTCTATAGCATAGACACCAGGAGAGGGTACAGAGGGAGGGTGGGGTTCCTTACCAAGACACAGCCCCCTGTCCTCGGGAAGGGAATGATGAGGTCCACCGTCACTGGGCCTGAGCCCTGGGTCTGTGGAAACGAAGAGCTGAATGATTCCTCACAGAGGCAAATCTGGCTGTGTCCAGCCTGAGTCTGTCATGCTGCTCCTCACCATCCTGCCCTCTGCCCACCCCCAAGCCACCGAGGCTGAGAGCTACACCCCACCAAGACAAGAGTTCCCCAGCACTTCAGCCTCCATTGATCTTTCACAGATCTCAGCTTGCACTACAACTGAGACAACACACAACACACATGCTGAATGCCTGCTGTGCCAGGACCTGTGGAAGGTGAGCAAAGACACTGTCTTCAGCAGCTCACAAACCAGGGGGACATCCTGTCCACTGGGAAGTAGGGGAGCTGTGGAGAGGGGTGACATAGTCCAGGCTTGACTACTGCCTCAAAGTTCCTAGCTGCATGGTCTTTGTGCAGGGATGGGTTACCTCTCTCTGAGGCTCACTTCTTCTTCATTCATATGTTGGGGACAATAATCTGTATTTTGGAGGGCTAGTAGGAACAGCAACTGGGAGTAAACTGCAGTGTATGTGCATTTGTTAGTAGTAGCTATCATTAGACTGTGGACCACTCGGGGCAGGGACTGTATCACATACTATTCTTTTCTCTCCCAGGGCCAACACAGGGTAGGCTCAGAGTAGGGACTCAGTAAAAGTATCCCAAATGGGACAGGATTGTTCTCTGTCCATAGGCAGAATGTGGCTCCACCCTGTGTTCTGGATGCTCAAGGGGGGCGTGGACCGGTCTCCACCCTTCAGGACCACCCTCCACACCTACCCCACACTCGATGCCTGTCTCAGACCTCGCTCTCCAGCCAGCCATGACCAGACACTGGTATAGTGGCTCACAAATCATGACTGAGCTCGATGGAGCTAGTCTTTTCCCAGATCATAGAAGCAGATGAGTCAATAGATGTGGGCCTCAGTTTTAGAGTACTGCACATGACTACGTCTTAAATCTTAAGTATTGGCTACCACCAGTCTGCTTGGCAGCCCTTTAGGATACAAAACAACCAAGCTGCATGTGAGCATTTAAGAAAGAACTGGAAAAAGCTAGTCATCCTTAACTTGGTGCTACAGTTGTTGTTGTTGTTTTTGAAAATACTGATGTTTCTTCTAAACGTGGTGCTATAGTTTTGTGGGTGTATTTGATTATTTTGGGGTTTTTTTCTTCTTTTTTTTTGGTACCGGGGATCAAACTCGGGACCTTGAGCTTTCGAGGTAGGCGGCGGAACCACTGAGCTAAATCCCCAGCCTTTTTTTCTTCTTCTTTTGAGATAGGGTTTTACTATGTAGCCCAGGCTGGCCACAAACTCCCAGCCATCCTCTTGCCTCAGCCTCCTGAGTGCTAAGATTATAAATGTGTGCCACCATACCAGGCTTTGATTATGAGTTTGTTTTTTTTAATCTCAGATGCACAGAAGACAGTCTGCTAGTCAGCTGTTCTTAGTCCACATAATCCAGTTAAACATCTTTACAGTATTGTACTGAGAGCATTTCTGCTTCTAAGGACTCTCTATTTCTTTTCTCAATGTTGAGAATTGAACCCAGGACTTCAGGCATGCTAGACAAGTACTCTACATCACCAACCTTAGGTGCTCCCTTTTGAGAGCATCAAAGAACTTCTGTATGGGTGCTCTGTGGAGGCAGGAGAGTGGGTAGAGGACAGCTGGGTCCAAGGAGGAATAAGTATCAAATCAGGCAGTGGTTCAGGGAGGCTAGAGGACAGCTGGGTGTGGGAGGGCCACTCCCTTGCCTCTGTCATCCCTGCAAGTTCAGGAAGTGGAAGCCCTAGCAACTGTCCCATAAGGGATCGCCACTGACTGACAGCAAACCAGCAGGACAAAGCCGATCAAGTAGATAAATTAACCAGATGATACAAGTCAGGGCTTTGCTCCCTCCACCCACCCAAGGTCTGTCTCACTTAGGTAATGAAGATACTGGGACTGTGCTCTGAGCAAAAGGACCTCATAGGGGTCCTGGCTAGGCCATACCTGGCTGATGCTATACACCGGTGACACGGATGTGTCTAGCCCCAAGCCTGGGTGGCTCCACGCAGCACTGAAGGTGGCATGCATCCTCGAGGAAAAGTGAAGGATCAGCTGCTGAGCATGAGTGGCCATGCTCACATTCCAGGACATGAGAGACCCTGTTTGTAGAAGTGGATCAGAACTGGGCTATAGCAGACAGAGATGTCAGGGCTGGGCTAGGGTTTGGTTCATTACAGCAGGGTGAGGGTGAAATGTGGGGAGGGGTTTGAGCTGAGGTTGCTTACTGGCTTACCACTCTGGTGGGGACATTCAACATGACTGCTGTTTTCTGAATAGAACTGGGTAATATAGGAATAGCAAGTTAGCATGACCCAGGCACTGGCCATTCCCTCTGCCCGCCCCTCTTGTTCATGGTTGTACCTTGAAGCAAAGCTGGGGGTGCAAGTCCACCTTCTCTAAAACATACCACTGTGAAGGAGAGGGCAGTCAGGGAGTCTGGGTTCCAGCTCTGCCCACCTCGGTTTCAGGGGATGGGGGAATGTCCTTACTCCTTCTGACTCTTGGGCCATGGCATTGGGGAGGTCTTCACAGGGGCTGTGCTGGTCTTGCCTCTGGCAGAGGGAGGCCTCCAGCTTCAGTGGGCAGCGGAGTGTCAGGGCCATGACCATCTGACTGTGCTGGCTGTAGTCGGTGAAGTGCGCTGACTTCCAGAGGTCTGAGGCATCTGGAAAGCAGCAAGGTCAGAGGGTGAGGCCTCAGCCCTGCTCCAGCCTCATTTTGCTTCTCCCATCCCCAGGGCACCAGGGGATGATGTTGAAAGTTCACAGTTCCTGGCTCAAATAGGTACAGTCAGTAAGCATCCCCACTTTGGTATCCTTTATTATCTCTATACCCAGCAGTCTCCTTTCCATTCTGGCCAGGCCCTTGCTATGTCCCTATTCCAAATCTACTTAGGCTCTTTTCAAAACCTGGAATACCTTCCCCTCCTGTCTCCCTCTTCTAAATCCTGCCCATTTTCTGAGCCCCACTCTTGTTCTAGCTCCCAGGAGAGGCCTTCTCTGCTCACAACAGCCTTCATGGGGTTTTCCCCTTTTTGAGCTCATGCCTTGCAGCCTAGTGCTTAACTATCACCCTGCCCCATGTGCCCTGGAGTCTGCTTGATGCTGCTCACGTGTGTCTGAACAGCCTGTCTCTCCCTGAAGACAACAACATATATACAGCACTTTAGACTTACCTATCACTTGCACTTGGAATATTTAATTCAAGCCCCCACACAGTTTGAAAACCAGGCAGGGGAAAACTCATGATTTTACAGATGAAGAAAGAGGGGCTCTGAAGAGAATAAATGGGAGAGCTGTGAGGTGAACCCAGTTCTCTGGCCCATCCTCTTGGGACATCACTTCCTGGGTCTTATCTTTGTGACCCTCTCAACTACAATGCTCAGTACTCTCAGCTTATTGGCAGGCGGTTGGTAGACATACTATCGCTTTCACCCCAGTGATTCCAGGGAAGGTGCCTACCGGGGGGTTCTTCCAACACGGGTATGAAGTGTGGTGTGTGTGTGTGTGTGTGTGTGTGTGTGTGTGTGTGTGTGACAGAAACAGAGACAGAGAGACATAAACAGAGAGGTTGTGTGTGCACAGGAGTGCATACAAGCCATACTCACAGGCTTTAGGCCAGCTCTGGAAGGGACAATTTTTGCGTCTCACAGCGTCCTCTTGCAGGTAGGATGCCTGGGGTGGGGGCATGGGGGTAGGAGAGCAGGCAAGGAGAGTCAGAAGGAAGGGCCTTTCCTATAGCACTCAGACCTAGCATTCATCCTGGCTCATCTTTTACTGAGATGCAGACTGAGCTAGAAGGGACTGAGGAGGGAAGCAAGGTGGAATGTGGAGAAGGGTAGGGAGGACCTTCAGAGCAAGGAGAGAGGTGGCCAAGTGAGGGGCTGACTCCTCTGCTCCCTGGAGACAATCTCAGCAGGAAGGAGATCATGAGGTCCATGCTCCTCAATTCAGCCTTCCCTGGCCTCTACTTTGGCCATTCTCAAGCACCCAGGGCCTGTATTGGCTCCCACTCTGGACTGCCCAAAAGCCGGCTATTGTCCACCGTCAGTTGCTTGATGCACCAGGTCTCTGCTGTATCCTCTCCTTGGCCCTGTTGTTTTCTAACTAGTCCAAAGCAGTTTTTCTGCTAGACACATCAGACTTGTAAAACAAGGAGGACTGCAATAGAGGGCTAGTGGGGCCAGGACTTTTGGAGTCATATGGAACACACAGTGATGTGTGTCCATTCTGCTTTTGTGGACTGAGGCCAAGTCTGGACCACCGAGAGCTGGGGCTGAGTGAGGCTGAGGCTGAGGTCTCACTAACAGGTCTATTCAGCAGGACCTTTCTGCCTCTGACCATGTGTGGCTGTAGCCAAGCTGATACCAGTCTTTCTAAGCATCTCAGTGACACTCAGCCTTTTTTCTTTTTTCTTTTTGTACCGGAGATTAAACCCAGGGCTCTTGCACTCAGCTACATCCCCAGTTTCACTCACCCTTTCTGAGACAGAGTCTCGATATATACTCCAGGCTGGCCTTGTATTCATGGTGATCCTCCTGCTTCAGTCTCCCAAGAGTGCTGGGATTTCAGACATGCACCACATCCCCAGCTTTCTTTGTTTTTTTTGGACAGCTTTCTTTTCTATTCTTTTTTTCATTCCTAGCCTTTGTTTTTTTTTAAAACTTTTTGTTTTCAGACAGGGTCTCGCTAAGTTGGCTGGGCTTGAGCTTGTGATCTTCCTGTCTCAGCCTCCCATGGTGCTGGCATTACAAGCATGTGCCACCACAACCAACTAGTCTTTTTTTGTTTTTATTTTGTGGGGCTGGGGATCAAACCCAGACTTCATGTGTGTTAGGAAAGTGCTCTACCCCTGAGCTATACCCCCAGATCCACCTCATCTCTTTAAAACCTGACATTGTAATGGGCCAGAGATTTAGCTCAGTGGTTCTGCTGCCTGCCTCGCAAGCACAGGACCTGAGTTCGATCCCTGGTACCAAAAAAACCCAAACAACAAACCTGACATTGGAAATAGGGTTGACCAAAGACCCAGGGACAACCTACACATTATCCTCTGCTCACCTCTATGCACAGACAGGGCAGAAAGAATTCATAAGGCAGGTCTGAAGTGTGGCCCCCAGCCACAGTTTTCTGTTAAAGAAGCAACAAAGGGAGAGAAGAAGACATGTGAGAAAGAAAATGGGCACTATGGACAAGGAGAGGAAGACACCAGGACCTTGGCCCACTCAGTCTGTTTTTCCTTATATGGAACTTTTTTCTTCCACTGAAAAATCTCCTCTCACAGTGTCTCTGCTCTGCATGCTGGCCATTTGGTTTAGGTGCTCTAAATGGACTGGTGGTGAAGGAGACACCAAAAGGAATTTGTATTTATTCAGCTGCAACTCTACGTCCACAGGGTGTTAGAAGCATTAACTCATCATGGTGAAGTTGTGAGTAATCACAAGGCTAAAAATGAAGGGAGCTGAGGGCCTCTGGGGCACAGTATCGTCTCAAACCAATTGTATACAGTGGCATCTATGACGACTGGAAGCTGAGGAGGGCTGTTGGGGTCTGAGCAAGAGATCGGGGGCTATTTTACTCTCTGAGGGGCAGAACAAAGTATGAGTGAGGGAAGGGTACCAAAACATATATTTGACTACTTTGTTATGTTCTCAGGGGAACAATCTTTGGGCAAGCTGAAAAGGCTTTAACGCAAACTGACTCACACTGAGGGGCCTCTCCTTTGGTGTATCTGCCATACTTGTTTCTTTACTTGTCGCTCATTGTTCCTCGGGAATTCTGCCTGCCCTTCCCCTTCCTCTCCTCCCAAGCAACAAGACCCTTTTCTTTCCTGTCTAGTGTGAAGAAGCCTTCATGCCAGACATCTCATCTGGTAAGAGGTCCTAAACATGGGTATCTCCATGTGCTTCAGCAGTGTGTGCTGGCTTCATACAGGGGTGACACTCCATACCTGGGTGTCAAAGGGACTCCTCAGCTCTTCACACTCGAGTGCCCACTGATGACAAAGACGCACACTGACCTCTGGACCTGGAGGAATGGTCACCCGAATAACCTGGGCCTCAGGCAGCAACTCAAAGGTGAACTCAGGTCCTGCAGAGGTATGGACACTCAGTAGCTTTACCTCCTGGCTTTAGTACTACTAATACTTACTACTCATGCTTAGTACTACTCATACATAGCACCACTCAGCTGAAACCATCTCTTGTCCCATCCCATGCCTACCTGCAAGCCTTTGTGAGCTCACTGCTCCTGGATCTGGAGGTTGGGTCCTTCTGTAGCGTAGACCCTTGTGTGCGATGTCTGGGCCGGGCATGGAAATGTGATGGCCCTTCTCAGACAGGGAATGGCTACCTAGCAGCTTCATGTATAATCAGAGAACAAGACTGGCTTTAGGCCAGGAATTAATCTGGCTTCTATTTCTACCTCTAGAACCTGAGGAACCACAGACAAGTTGTTCAACCTCTTTTGGCCTCAGTTTCCTTTACTGTGTAGTGGTCACATGTTCAACCTCCTTCATGTGTCTGGAGAATAAAATGACAGGCTAGAAAGAAAAGGACTAAGAAACATAGGGTAGGGCTGGAACTGGCAGGGAAAGTACCTGAGAAGATGCTGGCATCTTGTGGCTCTGACAGAACTTGAACTTGTAAGATTTTTCGGATTTCTGCACCAGGAGGTGGAACCAGCCCCACTGAAGGCCTGTGCAGGGAGGACACACTTAGCATTCTGCCCTTTGTGGCCCCTCCCTTGCCTGGGGATGTGGCTTAATGTTGGATAGAAAGCCATTTTAAGTCAAAGACAGTAATGACATCAAGTGAACTGAGTCCTGAAAATTATGATGCAATAAAAAAGAATTAATAAATATCTTAAACAGAGAAAAAGCTATATATATTTGTGCATATACAAGGGTATTCATTATTTCTAACAGTGAAGATTTAGAAACTGCTAATTCTTAAGCAGTATATGGATATTTAATATGGCAGGCAAGGCAATGAAAATAAGACTTGAATAAGAAAGAAGATCCTGCTTTACAAATAGAAGTAATAGGACCAGGGATGTAGCTCAGTGGTGCCATGCCTGCCTGGCAAGCTCATAGTCCTGAATTTGATCTTTGATCCCTGGTACCAAAAAAAAAAGTAATAAAAATAAGTTCATAAAAATCAAATATTTCAGAATTGGTACCACTGAAAAGATTAACACCTTCACAGTGCCATACAGTTGTTCCCGTATCAGTCATAGAGTGCTCTTTTAGGATGTTTTAAGTCCCTGTTGAGGTTGACAATAGGACAAAAATCTGTCCTATAACAAGTCCCACTTGTCTCAGCCTTGGTGAAACAAATAGCCTTGGTCCCCAAATAGCCCTTAATTCACACCTCCACGGAGAATGGCCCTAAAGGCTGTTTTTCACATCAGAAGGACCTGATACCATATGCAGCCACAAAGATCAGGGCCAGTGCCAGACCTGAGCATGCCAGTGCTTTGTGAAGATGAGGAGGATCAACTGGGTATGACAAGGGATATGGGGACAACTTCTTGTGTAAGATGGAAAGGAAATAGAGTGACAAGAGTCTAAGGAGGTCCCTCCTACCTCAGACCAATAGAATTTAAGGCTGAGGTTTAACACATCCTGGAGGTATGACCTTGGACAAATTATGGAACATCTCTAAGTATCAAGTTCTTCACTAACAAAGATGGGCTCTTGTAAGGGTCAAGTAAGATAATGTATGGGGACATGCCTGGTAAGGTACAATTTTACCAGTAGACTGCAAAATATGAAGAATCATTGTTGTATTACTGATAGGAGTGAGGGGCCAGTTAAGGGGAGAAACAAACTTATGTATAGAGTCCCCACGTCCCTCAGCTGGTCCTCCTCTAGGTCAGAAGAGACATTGGCTTTATGGTACAATCAGTCCTCCACTATTAAACTCCTCAGAAGTGAGGGTCAGGTGGAGAAGTATATTCTCTGAGGCTGCTCATGGAGTCTGGAGCAGGACTGCAGTAAAAATCCAGACTTGTTCTGCACTTTTTATTTTTATTTTTATTTATTTTTTTGGTACTGGGGATCGAACTCGGGTCCTTCCACTTGCGGGGCAGGCAGTGGAACCACTGAGCTAAATCCCCAGCCCCTGTACTTTTTAAAAATGATACTATTCTACTCCCGTATTGGGAACCAAGAGTTACAAATGAGAGCTTACTGGGGATCTGGAACAAAAGGGAGTGAGGGGAGAGTGGGGCAGGAAATGACTCACCAGCAAAACTCTTATCCTGAAGGCAAGGGGTCCAGTAGGGAAAAGAAAGGAGAGAGTTATTATTAGGACTCCCATTTGCTTCAAAGCATCCAACTCTGAGGCCCAACTAGTAGCCATGTACTCCTGCCCTTTTCCTCCCAGTTCTACCCTGCCCAGGCCCTCAGCACACCACGACCTTGGCAATCCATCCACAACTTTGTAGGCAACACACTGAGGCTGCCATCAGAGCACAGGGAAAGGGGAGGCCAGAAAGGCCTGGCAAGGGAGTGGGAAGCTTTTGGCCTGTGCCAGACAGGCGTCCCATCCAGCAGCAGCGGGACCTTACCACGTAAGAAGCCAGTAGACAGCGGGTGATCCTGCGCGGCAGGTAGCCACAGCCAATATCAGCAGAGGCAGAGAGGCCTGAGAGCAGCAGGAGGATATCCAGGAGTGAGGCTGCCAGTCTAGGGCTTCCCATGGACTTCTGTGGAATCAGGGCACCAAAAGCATGGCTTTGTGGCCTGAAGGTAGGCAACACGCCTCAGTGCAGCTGCTGGAAGCACAGTACCACCCGAAGCCCTGGCTTTATCCCGCCCCGGCCCCGCCCTACCCCAAGCTCCTCCTCAACCCCAACCAGCAGGCCTGGCCACATTCCTTCTCCAAGGAGAAAAACTAAGGAACCCAGGGACCAATGGAAAGATGGACAGATGTACCTTGTTCGCTAGAAAACCCTACTATTCCCACCTGAAAGATAAAGGGTTCTTGCTATGGCAGAGAAATAACAAGAAAGGGCCCAGCACTGGGTTGGGGGGTGGTGTACCCATTTCTTAACTGAAACACCCTGCAGATATGACCTGCCCATTAACATGCTCTTAAACCTGAGTGTCCCCTAAAGACACTGCTTCATTCCCTCACTTAGAGTTAACAGACCTACTAGGCACTGCACTTCCCTGGGTGCTGAAGATACAGAGGTGACTGCCACGACATTTAATGTGCACAAAGAAAAATGCACCAGAGGATGCAAATAAACCTCTCATGGCCCCATAGGTACCCTGGCTGATTTTCAAGACTATAACCAGCTTTCTTTCTCTACGCAATAGCCCATTCTAGCTCTTTTGGACAAAGGGCTCCATGCCAAAGGGGTTCACAGCTTCAAGGACCCACTAATCATTCAGCCAGCTCAGGAAGCCCCAGAGCTCACAGCTGAGCCCTGGAGCCGAGGGACTGGGCCCCATGTATTGACCTGGTTTCCTGTGGTTTCCGGTGCAGGAGAAGGCTGACGAGGCTCCAGTCTTTGTGGGGACCCTCCCCATCATCCCACAGCTTCCTCCCCCTCATGGAGTACTTAAGCTGCTTCAGCCCTCATCTTGGTGACACTCACAATGGAAGGAAAGACTGGGGCATACCCACCAGGTCAAGGCATTGAGATGGTTACTGTTCCTCTACCACTCAATCCTGATCACCTTTCAATAGCCTGATCACAGGTTACTTTTGGTCAATTCTATTCCTGTCTTCTATTATCTGAAGGCCCATCCTACCCACTATCCTTAAAATATCCTCTAGCTTCTGAATTCATTAAAAGATATTCTTTCCTATTCTTTACATTTCTCTACCGCTTGGTAGTGGAAGTCATGAAACAGATACTCTGAATAAATGAATAAATGTAATATAAATAATAATAAAAGTTGAATAAATAAATAATAAAAGTTGAATAAATGTAGATTATAACACATTTTATCTAAGTAATTTGTCTTTTCCCATTTCATTAGAACACTTAACATATTAGATCCTTCTAATCACCTTATTAGAAAGACAGGTGAGAATCACTGTTTTCATTTCATAAAGACAAAAACAAGGAAGCAGAAAGGAAAGTGATTTGGTCAAGGTCAAAGTCTGTAGCCCAGGAAACTCCACTTTTGCTGGGCCCTCGCAACTCAATGCTCTATAACCCTGTGGTCTCTCTTCCCAGGGCCTCTTCTTCCTTTATTCTTAGAACCAACAAGGGTGTACCTGGCACAGTGCTTTTTTTTTTTTTTTTTTTTGGCATTAGAGCCCATCTTTGCAAACAAATCAGTAAGATCTGAAGAGAGGAAAAGGTGGTTTGCCCATACTAACAATGGGTGAAGAAGCTTTCCCTCAAATTCTACCTAACTCACAGTGGTTTCCATTTACCTACATAAATGTTTTTCTTCCTATTTTTTTTGAAACAGGGTCTTGCTTTGTTGCCCCAAGCTAGCCTTCAACTTATTCCATAGCCCAGGCTGGCATCAAACTCAAGATCCTCTTGCCTCAGCATCCAGTGCTGGGGTTACAAGTGCCCAGCAAGAATGAGCTTTCTAATGCTGGGGTATGTAGGGAGAAACATGGCTCTATTCTAGAACATGTGTCTTTCCCAATCCCTGCATCCTCTGATCTAACTTGAGACAAAGTCTCACTAAGTTGCCCCCTTAGGCTCAAAATTGCAGTCTTTGTCCCTCAGCCTCTCAGAATGCTGGGATTACAGAAATGTGGCACTGCATTTGGCTTTTTTTTTTTTTAATACTAGGGACTGAACCTAGGGCCTTCACAATAAACTACATAGGGAGGGGAGGGGGGTTTTCAGGGAGAGGGGGAATGGGAAAAAAGAGGTAGAAGGTATCATGTACAGGTGCAAATTCCCTGTGAGGAGTGTTAGTTCTCATTATGTATGTCTAAAATGTACCAATAAATGTTTTGATATAAAAAAATATTTTTTGAGATAGGATCTTGCTGAAGGAGTCAGGAGTGATGGTGCATACCTATAATTCCAGCACTCAGGAGGGAGAGGCAGGAGGATTGCCATGAGTTTGAGGCCAGCCTGGGCTACATAGTGAATTCAAGGCCACTCTTAACTACATAATGAGACCTTATCTCAAAGAACAAAAAGCAAAACAAAAAAGGATCTTGGTGAATTGATAAATTCTTTAGGGTTGACTTAAAATTGCAATCCTCCTGGCTCAGCCTTCCAAGTGTGATCTAACTCTTAAAATCAAAATATTTGTTTAACTGCTCCAACTCTGGTTATGGTAGGAGAGGCAGAAAAGAAAGAGTGACAAGAGGGAAGGGAAGAGCAGGAAAAGGAAGGGAAGAGGAGAGGGAGAAGAGAAGGTTTGAAAAGGAAGGAGTAGAGGAAAAACAAAGAAAAGGAGCATGTAGAAAAGAAAAAGGAGGGCTGGGGATTTAGCTCAGTGGTGTTGCCACCTGTCTCAAAAGCAAAAGGTCCCGAGTTCGATCCCCGGTACGAAAAAAAAAGAAAAAGGAGGGGCTAGGGATTTGGCTCAGTGGTACTGCACCTGCCTTTCAAGCACAAGGTCCTGAGTTGAATCCCTGGTACCCAGAAAAAAAAAAGGAATAAAAATGAACAAAAAAGCCAGGTGTGGTGGTGCACAACTATAATCCCAGCACTCTAGGAAGCTGAGGCAGGAAAATCACAAGTTCCAGCCCAGCCTGGGCAATCTAGGGGCTGAGTGAGACACTGTCTCAAATAAATTAAAAAAAAAAGCTGGATTTCCAGGAAGATGGTGGGACAGTGAACAGCAGAGAAATAGCCTCTCTCAGATTTGGTGTCCAGATGCTGGAATATAGCAAAGTGAGAAAGACAAGAAAGAGGGAAGTGGGTCCCTGGGACCCAGCAAGAATCTAAAGTGAGAATTGAAGCCCATGGGGAGATCAAGGAGAGAGACTTCAATGAAGAAAAAGGAGGTAGCACGTGGCATTTTCTCCCTGAGCCCTGACTCAATATGTGGGAAGGGCTGCAGACCCATGGTACTACTGGCAACACCAGAAGCCTCCACAGAGAAATGCACCAGTGGAATGGAGTAGTGGACACACCAGGTTGCAGTGACTGATGAGTTATTTGGGTTCAGATGCCCCCAGGAGAGGGCAATTGACCAGTAGCCATCTTGGAGAGGGGCCAACTGAGCTACAGGATGGCTCCATCAGGGTGAGGTGGAATCAAGTTTAAGTCATCAGGAGGTCAAGGAGCCAAATTCAAACCAGCAGGGAGCCAAGTTCAAGCCAGCAGGAGGCACACAAAGTGTTGTAGGCTGAACAAATCTCATTCCAGTCTCACAGCCAGAAACCAGTCTGAGCTTCAGAACTAAAGGTACAGGCTTGCTGGGATTATCCACTACCTCACCATAAATCTATGACTGGCTTGTTGAGAGTAAGTTAACATGGATCTGGGCTCTGTGTGCCCAATTCGTCTACCAGTGACAGCAGAGACATGCCTTGAAGTAGACATTTTTTTCTTATTTTCATCTTTTTTTTCCTTTTGTTTCTGTTTTTGTTTTGTTTTGTCTTTTTTCTTTTTTGTTCTTATTTTTATGTGTGAACATTGTTTCTAGGGTTTTTTGTTGTTGTTGTTCTGTTCTGTTATGTTCTTATTTCCTCTCTCTTTCCCTCCTGTTTGTTTGTTTGTACTGGGGATCACACTTGGGTCCTTACGCTTGCAAGGCAGGCGGCAGAACCACTGAGCTAAATCCCCAGCTCTCCCTCCTGTTTTCTTCACCAGTCTTCCAACGTTTTCATAACCTTCCTTTGTCCTCCAGCCTTATTTCTAATCTCTTCCTCTTCTACTTCTCTATTTTTACCTCAACCTCTTTTAAATTTTCTCTCCTAAGTGTAAAATCACCATATTGAGGGTATAGTTACTATATACAATTTTCTGGTTTGTTTTAGATTTTGTTATATAACCACAAATCTAGTTGATGTGGCTAAAGGTGACAAATTAATAGTTATCATACTTTGTCATTGTCTAGGCTCCATTTGATGCTATTGTTATTGCTGATTGTACTACTTTAGCCAAGGTGACGTAATTGTTCTAATCAGTTATTCATCCTGGTATATCAAGACTGAGATTGCTGAAGGGTCATAAACAATAATATAGCCCAGGGCCAAAGAACCAGGGGTTAGGCCAAATAGGCAGTAACTTGTCATCTCCAATAAATTGAAGAGGTAGGATCTTGCAACAGACTCAAAACCCAAAAGCCAGCTACACCTGGAAGACATTTCTTAGAAGTAGTCATTTCCTGAGGGTTTTAAATATTAGCAATGAAGCCGCTTACCATATGTAATTTACAAACATCAACCCAGGAATTAAACTAAAAAAAAGAAAATGAGAAGACACTTAAGCAAGATGCAACCCCAGATTTCAAACTCAGGGGGCAATGAGGTGGAACAATTTGAAAGCCACCCACTTGGACTTTCTGAAGTTGTAACAGCAGAAGTAACAAAGCAGATGAGTGAAACTCTAGAAAAAATCAAATCAGAAATAGCTTCTCAGGGCTGGGGATTTAGCTCAGTGGTTCCACCAGCTGCCTCACAAGCGCAAGGTCCTGAGTTCGATCCCCGATACCAAAAATTTAAAAAAAAAAGAAAAGAAATAGTTTCTCAGATAACAACAGAGATGGTGACCAAAATGAAAGACATGATTAGTGACTCTAGAGCAGGTACTGATAAAAAAAA